ACAGCTAGTGTCCGCTGCAGTGAACTTCGAATGTCAGTCTTGATGTTTAGGCTTGAACACGTATACACACATCGCTGACGACAGTAGCCAGCCCTGGCGAGCCAAAATAGATGCTGTCTTGCCATTCTGAAGTCTGGAAGCGTTTCTGCTTAGTTGTGCGTCGCTTGTGAGATGTAGCAGCGCCCTCTCTGGAGACAGAGTCGGGTGAGACTTCGCGGCCAGCGTCATCGTCATCCAGCGGTATTTGGCAGGAGCGTAGTCGTTCTTTGAGTCGTAGGTTCTCGGCGCGTAATTTCCGAAGCTCGTAACTCTGCTGGATTGGAGCATAGTTGCCGTCCTCTGCGATGAAGTAGCAGTCCCGCGGAGAGCCACGAGCACAACATGCCGAACATGGCTTTGTGCGATCACACTATGCCAAGTCAGCGCGATGTACGCCCATTTTCCAAACCGCTAATGTATCGCTTTCACAGATTGTTGCGTGGACCGCAGTCCGAGGAGGGAAACCAACCTTGACCTTGCGCTCTCTACACTTCGTGCATGATAGCAATTGACGTGGCTGTTGTGGCTGTTGCTTCCTTCGGTTGGTGTCGGCCGCACCAGGAGAATGATCTTGAGGAATATGTATTCGTTCGTATGGAACCTCTGCAGCTGACATAGTAGAACAAAACTAGTCTGTCGTGCCGTATCGAATATTGAATAAGACTAACTAGAGAGACACACTTCGAGAATGATACAATTGTTTGTTGAGTGTGGCAGACAGTGTGGTATACATCGAGTCAGAATCATATATTTGGTCGATTCGTGTCAACGAGAAGCTCGCGTCATCTGTTTTGTAGGAACATTCTAGATATCACCTCTAGCCACTGGCACTGCCGTGATAAGTAAACACACGAACGCGAAGCCTCATTCCAGTTAGGGAAGCCTCCGAGCCATTGGTAGAGTAAAGAAGCGCTAATGTTAGAAATGCTGGGCTTTCACCGTAGTCTGAGCTCCCGGACTGGCGGTATTACATTGCGCTTACGCTAATACGCATGGAACACCGAGGCGCAGTTGTACAAAAGATATCGCCAAGCGGGTTGAAGGGGCCATCGGAACAATACAGGATGCTTGACACAGCACACAGATCTGACGCACCTGTCGACGGCCCGAGCCTCTGGGTCTCCCCACCCTTCTCTGCCCACGCGCGCATATGCATGCACAACGAACCGGATTGCTTGCCGGTTAAATGCTTCCTTCCTACAACTGAGCGGAGAACTCGATCTTGACATTGCGGATCTACATCTATGTTGGTTGTTCGTAGCAGGTGCCACCGTGGCTTGGTGTGGCTTGCAGGGGCGTGTGTTGGAACGCCTCCATTGCTTCAAGCTTTCATTGGACAGTCCTAGTTGTTTCGGACGTTACTACTGCGTACTGTCTTTTTTATTCCGCAGCAGAATTGATGCGAATGCGAGGCTGGCAATTTGGAATCGATGGGCTGTTGAGAGTGATCTACAATCACGGAGCGCAAGCCCCGCGGTGTAATACCAAAACGCCTCGTTTTGCCACCATCGGAACCTGAAATTGTTCGCGTGCCAGGCATACCGTCTGCCGGGACGTCAAACATAACCAACCCCACCGTCGCCCAGGAATTCAACTTCCGCGATCTTCTGTCGGCAGTTGCGAGAAAAGCAGATGAGAAGATTCTAGCAAAGTGGCTTAGACAGCTTTGTTAGTTCGGTCCAAGAGGCGAATCGGCTTCACCCAGATGGTTCTCAGAAAAAGGTCGACTCTCTCCAGCGCCACTTCCCATTCATCACCTTCTTCGCAGTCATGACTGTTCATGAAAACCTTGAGGCCATACTCCGGTATCTCACCTTCCACCAACCCCGCCCCTACCTTCACAGACCTTGTCCAGAACGTGAATGTTTTAGGGAGCTCCGCTTCCTTGTACTGGAAAGCACGAAGGATAGCCTGGGTAACCCAGAAGCGTGTGGAATTCCGCTTGGTCTGGGTTATGATCCGCTCGCGAGGGGAAAGTGTGACGATAGATTCTTGCATTTGGCTTTGTGAGAAGGGGAGTATGGACTTGGACCCCGGCGCCAATTTAAATTTTCTGCCGTTTTGTGCTTCCCAGCGTAGGGCAGCCTCGATTTGCCAGTGCGCAATCATGTCTGTAAAGCGACGGAGAGGACTTGTGACTTTGATGTAGCTAGGGACTCCGATGATCTTGTGTGGCAAAGGCGAAGAATGTGCAACGGCCATGCCTAACGATCTTGTCCATCGCGAATGGAGATCCAGTCGTACCTTTCCGTGTTTTTCGTAGTGGGTCTGCACAAGCTGTTGCAGCTCCTTTGGTTCCAAATCTCCGCCTGGTGGTTCGATCGTACCCCTATACATCACGGGTATGTTCCGCTCAGTACACCATGCAGCCGCTGTCTGACCGGCAAGCAGCATCATCTCTTCGGTAATGTTCTTAGGTCCGATCTCCAACTGCATCAAACCGTCCGAGATCGAATTCGTTACCTCGATTATCGGGTCTCCTTGAATAAAACGTGCCCGATCCAATGATGGGGCGTTCCAGCTCAAGCCACCCTGGCTGGCGCTCTCAAAGACACGAGCACTAATACCCCCGGTAGCAAACTTAACACCGCCAGCAGTCCTTCGCTTCGTCCATAAGGCTTGGGCCGCAGTATAAAGATTACGCAGGTCATCAAGTTGACTTGGAGCAAGGCTCGGAGGTTGCCGTTCTGTGCCGCGTGGCACCTCACCACCGACAACAAGCTTTCTTGTTTTGCTCGGACTGTTGTCACCAAGAAGAGCAGCCACCTCGGATGGCGTGATGCTGACAACATTGTGAACGGTGCCGTGCTGTATCTTCGTTTCCAAGACGGAGCCAGTACTGTCAATACGGGAACTGAAGGTGATGACAGGGCGGTTCTTGTCAAGACTGAAGTGCCCTTGGGCAGCCCAAGCTGGAAGCATAGGGAAAGATCGCTCTGGCGTATACACGGATTCAGTCATGTGGGCGGCAAGACCAGATAGCGTATGGGTTTTGTCGAAGAATGCTGTTGGATTCGCAACGTGTACATGAATCCAGAATTCAGAAGATGCACCCTTGACTTGTTCGATCGATATGCCGTCATCGATCTCGTGGGCGCCGACATCGTCGATGCAGTATACTGTCGTCGATCCCCAATCGTGGCGAAGATGTGCCATTGCATCTCGAAAGTCAGGATTCCTTCGTATAAGCTCAACTTTATTGTTAAGTACTTCCAGGTTGCGAGACTGTCGGACGGTGGGAAGCATCAGCTGCTCGTCATAGATCGCGCGATTGTCGTGGGGCGAGATGACACCTATCTCTTGTAGGAACAGTAGACCAGTACCTTTTTTGATGTTGCTGAGAGTGTCGTCGTGAGTTCCTGTGCCGGCGAAGACATCTGAACCGTAGAACCCTGATGACGAGACCAAGCTCGTACAAGCAGATTGAAGACCAGCCATACCCTTGAACTGATCAGTAAGTACCCATGCTTGTAGAAACTTGATGATCTGTTTGTCAGTGTTTGAAAATGTCTCTCCCCAAGTGATGCGCAGATTGGAGGATCCGTCCGGTGGCGAGGAATTCTTGCTAGGTCCAAGACCCCCGTAGGTTGGCTCACGGAACTTTCGACTGTTTGCGATAAGTTTGCGGGCCTTCGCAAGGAAATTCGCAACGTAAGTGTAGCCGTCGGTGCGGGCTTGCTGAGCATCCTTGATGGTCTCGAAACTTCTCACAGACAAGGCACGGTATTCGCGATATTCTCGGATCCACTCTTGGACTGCCTCCATGACCTCGACATCAGCCTTGGGTCGGATAGCAAAAATGTTCGTCAGACGGTGGTTGCGAGCATCGGAGTTGAAACGAAATTCATTGTGGTGGAGAGCCTTTCGAACGGCCAGGAGAGCTGCTGGTGAGGATACCCAGGAAGAATCTTGCTTCCCCAGCAGTTTCTTCGCAATCTGTGCCAGTGTCATCATACGTGTCTTGGTGTTGTCTGCCAAGACATCGTAGGCCCCGTCCAGTACTGAGGCATTTGTTCTGTAAATGTTCTCCGCTTCTGCTGTCATCTGTTCGAGGGTCGCTACGACCGGAGCGGACAACTCTCTCGGAACGTGGACTTCACCCTTGGGATTGGCTAAGCCAGGATTTGTAGGCAGGAAGGGAACGAGTGGCTCAAGAAGTGCGGGATCGATGCAGCCTTGGATAGCGAAAGACACGCGACCAATCAAGGAATGTGTCCATCGACCATTGACGGAGAAGAATTGACTCTCATTATTCAGTTGCTGCACGAAAACAGCAAGTACGGGTTCACGGCCCGGTTGCGTGAGTTCGACCACGTCGCCGGGCTTCAGGAAAAGGCCGATAGTAATGACCTCTTCTGCCTCATCTTCCTCCGCCACATCCCACTCGCTCTCTTTTGCATCCTGGTCGGCCTTGAGAGCGGACGACAACTTTGATAGTCCGTTCTGCGTATTATTGCGTGCGGGGTGATTCTCGAATGCCGTAAGAATTTCTTCTGTCGGTCCACCAAATTGATGTTGCCACCGCTCGAGATGCTCACGGACTGGAACTCCTTGGGGGCGAGCAAGGAGAGACGGATCTGGGGCGGGCGTAGGAGTGGTGGTGGTGAGGGTGGATTGTTGTGAGCGCTGACAGTTGTTAGTCGTTGGTTGTCATACCGGACGTATCACTTACGTTGGCAGCGGCATGGAGCGCCCGCCTCTGCGTTTGTGGAACTTTTACAGTAGAAAGTCCACGAATATTTTGTGTTGAACAGGAACTACTTCGCTGGGCCAGTAGACGACATTGGCATCGCAGGCATACATTGCCTGCAGCCCGCCCAAGACGAGGATACATTTTGAGGCGAATCGTGAATGATGTCGTCAATCCAAAAAAGAGCGGCCGAGGGAAGGCGCGTTTGAACGGCCCGTGCGAGGACGCTAAGTCGCCGCGCGAACACATGTTTCTTCTGCACACCTCCGTCGCTCTTTCTTACACCACACTACGCCCAAGGTATGTACACCGTCTCCTCCTCTTCACCCCCGACTTCATGATGTATTCAAAATTATAGCATGTATTATCCGACGTCGCTTCGGCGAGACTGCGGAACAAATTTTTTCCTGATTGAAATCTTCACATCTCGACTTGTTATCTGTCCATGTTGCGATGCGCATCTAACGTGTCTCAACAGGCATCATGGCATCTGCCAAAGCGCCCAAGGGCCACTTCTCTATCCTGTACTTTGCAGCGGCTTCAACCTTCACAGGCAAGACCAGTGAACATCTTCCTGCTCCTGTACGAGCTCGCGATGTCTTCACTATGCTGGAAGAGAGATATCCGGACATTCGCAACAAGGTGTTGAGCAGCTGTGCTATGACAGTCAACATGGAGTACGTTGATGTCGGGGAGGACGATGCTGAGGATGCAGACAAGGAGATTGTTGAAGGCGACGAGGTTGCCATTATCCCGCCCGTGAGCTCGGGATAGCTCACGGAGTGGTTTATGTAGTATGTAGTTAACGATGTTATGAGCCATGTCCTCCACAATGATAGCGCCTACCGTAGTCGCGCAAATAATGTATGATGCTTAGTGAAGTTACGTCCCATAGCAACTCGAGCGCCCGGTTCGTCCTGCTGCTGGAGTCGTGCCAGCGTCAGTCAAATGAAAGTGCGGAAAAGCTCGAAGCCCCATTGGGCCTAGCGCCTGACGTTCTCTGACAGCCAGGCTCGATCCACCTGCGCGGCATATACGACCACCGACGCGCCGACGAAAGCGATTTGGTCTCAGAAACCAAATGGCAGACCACGAAATAGACCCGAGACTCTTCGCGAGTGCATCCTCAGTGCAACCGTCGCGGCCGCAGATCTACACGTCTGCACAGCAGCAAAACACCGGCCATCCATACTACCTTCCGTCACCCACCGCTCAACACCATGCCCAATCCCTCCCTCAACCCCCGCAGCTCTCACAGCTATCGCAGCCTGCCCCACTAGGAAACATACTCGATCCCGCCCTCGAGCAGACATCGCCAACCGGACCAGAGGCGTCGCACGATGACGACGACCACGAGGACGATGGCGACCACGATGGGTACGTTGTAGAAGCCCAACCTGCGCCGTCGCGGCAGCTGGCGCGCTGTGTCGCAAAGCGCAGACTGCATGCTTCAATGGCTGCGACAGGCGCGATACGCGTCCAAACCAGTTGAAAGCCTCTTGGCTCTCTCAGATGATTGTCCCTGAAAGCAACGCGTGCAGTCGCCAGTGCGCTCGACAACAACAAACCATCACCAGTGGATATACGCTAACACTGACCAACAGCGCCCACGGAACTCCAGGTTCTGCCAAATCCCCCGCCGACCTCAAGCGCCCTAGAGCATGCGACTCATGTCGAGGACTAAAGGTTCGCTGCGACCAAGAGCGACCGGACGTGTCATGTAGACGTTGCGCCAAGGCAGGTCGACCTTGCATTACGACACCACCAACCCGGAAGCGCCAAAAGAAGGCCGACAGCAGAGTCGCCGAACTTGAGCGCAAGATCGATGCATTGACAGCGACATTGCATGCACAAAAGGCAGGCGCACCCGAGATCAGGCATCATGGAGGCATACCACAACCCGGGGCCTCTGCCGATTCTATGCCTATGCCGGTTGAAGGCCAGTACCGCATGGGATCACTCGAGCACGATTGGTCTCAGCCTCCGGCTGGCAGGTACCCAGACATACCGCCCGGCTACGGGCCAGCCCAGAATATGCAGAGAGCACCTGAGCCAAAGCGCAGGAAGCTGGACAACACATCACACGCTGTGAGTAGTCAGGTCAAACGCACGCGCGGCCAGAGCTAACATTTCAGACGATCCCCGAGGACATGGATGCCATCCATCGTGACTTAGCAGAGCACCCGGAGATGAAGCGGACCAGCAAGAACAAGATTCACGCTGACCACTCGCACATCAATATTCTAATCGACAATCTTATGACGCCTGACATTGCAGAGCGCGTCTTCTTTCGCTATGTCAACGAGATCTGCCCGCATTTCCCAGCCGTGCCGTTCCCTCCTGGCACCACAGCCCGTGAAGTCCGAGAGAAGAAACCGCTTCTCTTCCTCGCTGTTTTGGCTGGGTCCTCGCACGGGAGCGCAGAGCAGTTGGTATCACAAGAGACACAACGCGAGTTGACCAAACTCCTCAAGGACCAGCTTGCTGACATCATCTGGCGCAACGGAGAGAAATCGCTCGAGATTGTTCAGGCACTACACATCTCTGTGCTTTGGTACCGTCCACCCCTCCACTTTGAGCAGCACAACTTCTACATGATGGTCAATTGCGCTGCAGTCATGGCTCTCGACCTAGGCCTTGGAAGAAAGGCAACACCAAATGTCATGAAGCTTTCGGTTGGTCCATTCAAGAGGTTTCATCCAAACTCTAGCAGCGTCGAGGCCCGCCGAACGTTCCTCGTCTGCTACTATCTCTGTATGAGTATCACCATGGTCCTGCGACGACCGATTTTACTTCGTTGGACCAACTACATGGCGGAGAGTGTTCGCATACTTGAGACCTCGCCCGAAGCACTCCCATCGGATAGACTACTCTGTCAGCAAGTCAAGATGGCGCACATAGGAGAGAAGATATCGGTCGAGTTTTGTATGGACGATCCCTCGGTTGAGGTTGCCATCTCCGATCCGAAGGTTATATATGCCCTGAAGATCTTCGAGAATGAACTGAATAGCTTGAGGGAGGAGAACGCCTCTTTGGGAGACGTCGATCGTAAGTTGTATCGGAACACATGCCGCACCCACACTGACCATCGCAGCAACCCTCCGCTTGGCAGAACATGTCACGAATCTTTACCTCCATGAAATCGCGCTGCATCAGAATCAAGGCTCTGCTGATTTGCAGCCCCCTTACACCACGGACGCACTATCTCCGTCAGTCATCATTGCAGCCAAGAAAGACGGTCCTGTCGGCCCGGCACATATAGGCGCTCTGGGTGACTGTCTCACCGCTACCCATGGTATCCTAGACACGATACTGAGTATCGAACTAGACATTCTCCTAACTCTGCCTGTGATCTTCTGTAAGTTTCTCACCCATTCCCCATGTTCCGTGCTAACAAATCCCAGGTGTCCGGGCAATCTACGCCATCGTCTGCCTGATGAAGATGTGGGTGTCGGTGACGAGCTCTGGCGAAGTGGGGAGCATCATCAAGAAGGAAGATCTTGAAATCGAGGCCTACACCGAACAATTGGTCTCCATGTTCAACGCCATTGTTTCCCGCGATGCCCAATCACCCCATGGAAAATTCTACTTTGTCGCCAAGCGCTTACAGGAACGATTTACCCACATCAAAGAAGGTGCCTCTAGCGACCACCAAACTGAAACCGACCACGAATCCGCTCGTAACGCTAGTCAACAACCATCCCGACCTTCCACTCGCCAAGAGCCCGCAAATCAAACACCACTCCATCTCCTCTCCGAAGTCGCCATGGGTAGCAGTAATAATGCTGCTTCACAACAGCAACAGACGCAAGCGCATTCTCGTTCTCAGCAACAAGCACAAGCCGCTCTACAAGCACATGCGCAACATTCCCAGCAAGCCATGCCGAACTGGTATCCAAACATGAATGCGCAACCTACGCCTGAGATGATGGGTTTTGGCCCGCAACAGCCATTCGACATCAACTTTGACTTCACACAGTTTGACCTTGGTACAGGCTCGGATGCAGATCTGTCGGCGCTCTTCATCCCAGATTCGATGGCAATGTGGAGCTACCCCACTGATCCTAATATGCAGGGCTACAACGGATTTTGAGATGTCCGATGTCCGATGTGGGTTTCGATAGTGCAGTTACGTGTGCATAGTCCGGGCAGAAGTGTAACGGTGCATGGTTTGCGCGTGAATTGTACAGTAAAGATGTATCATTTGTAACGAACCTCGGCGAAACAAGTATAGAAAGCATGTAACAATACACAATTAACGAAACCCAAAGTGTGTGTAACATTTTCGTACTATTCCAGCTGACCACTTTGAAGCGCGCATCAGCGCCGCCGGATGCCTCTTTCCAGTTCATGGGACTGTCTTATTATTGGAAAGTTCATGTATTCGCCTAGTCGGGTGACTGTGACCGGCATGTTACCATATGTTATCCCCACTCATACTCACTCCAACTTGAACTCAACCTTCTTTAAGAACGCCTCTAGGCCCGTAAGCTCGCCCGCTGCTTGCTCTTTGGCCCACTGCACAGCCTCTTTCTGTCCCTCACCATAGTACCCATACTCCCTGTTCAACACCCACATCTCATACAACTGCTCCCTAAGCCCTTCCGGGAAAAAGCTCTTGACAACCTCATCAGGAAGCTGGACATGCTTCACTGTCTTGCCTGTCACCTTACTCATAACACTCGCAATGTCATCCGGCGTGTAAAGGCCCTCACCCGCAGCGAAGAAGTTGCCCGCGTATTTCTCTGGCTCAGCGAGAATGGGAGCGATCCACTTTCCAGTCTCGGTGATGTCAATGTACGGCACGGGCGTGTTTCCAGGTAACATGTCTGCTAGAACAAAAGTACCGTCGCCGGCGGGAGAAGGACGTGGTTTCATTCTGTCTAGCAGATTCTGCATGAAAGATGCTGGAGCGAAGAAAGCACTCTTAACAGGTAGGGTACGGATGTACGTCTCGATCTCGGCTTTGTCGTCAAAATGCTCTACGTTCTTCAACTTTCCCCCGCTGATCTTGTATGGGTGCGACATGGAGCTGAAGATGATGTATTTGACTCCTTGCTTGATAGCTTCTTCGCACACTGCTTTGGCCTGGCGTGTTTCGACTTCGCGGGTGGAGCCGGTGTATTGAGTTGTTGTTACAAGGAAGACGGAGGTGCAGCCGGAAAGGGCGGTAGGGAGGGTGGACGGGTCGTCCATGTCAGCTTGGACGAGCTCTGCGCCTAAGGATCTCAGGTCCTGCATGGCGGAGGAAGTGGTGGAGCGAGAAAGGGCGCGGACGTTGTACATTGCGGAGAGCGAGGGGGTGGTCAGGATGGTGCGGACGACTGAGTTGCCTTGATTGCCCGAGGCACCAAAGACTGCAATGGTCGATTTGGACATTGTGAGAGTGTCGACGGTGGTGTTGATCGTTTCGAAATTCAGGTACTGATTGATAATGTTGAGGAGATAGTTCAATATTGGAGATGATGAAGCTTGTAACTGGTAGACTTGAACATCAAACCTGGCCTTTACTTATATACTCTCTGAAATGGGTGTGCGCGATCCTTCTTTCTACTCTAGCTCATTGCATCAAGCCACACACCTCCAACCATCATGAGAGCCTACGGCTATACACACCGGAATTTACGGCTTTAGGGTCTTCACCATTTCTAGAAAATCGTCGTCGTGAGGCTCTTCATGCCGCTAGAGGATCGTTCCGAAGTATCATTTCTGTTGTCAATCGCTCCAATCACGTAATAGATCTCGCTGGTTCCTGCTGTAAGGCCGCCTGCGCCAGTTGTCGCTGTTGTTGAAAACATGTCGGAGATGTCGACGGCGTTCTCGGAGACCGAGCTAGGGTCGGATCCGAGACTTGGCGAGGCTTAACTCCTCTAATACCCTAAGACTTGCCTGCTATTTGCGGGGTTCCACCTACCTTTCGCGACTTCGCTCTCTACGCATCGCGTACTTTGTCATCAGCTTTTGAACATAGCTTTTTGCCTCCGTATTTGACGAAAACACCGCCCTCGGTGCTTTTGCTTTCTGTATGCGGTACCATGAGGCATGATGTGGTTGCAACCGCGCTCAATGGACGCGCCTGCCGCTAGCTTCAAGCAGGTATCGCTCTCGTCCGCTGTGCGGACTGAGCTGGACGTACTGGACTCGTGGTCTGAGACATGGCAAAGAATAATCACGAAATAGGCATCTGGACAAACCCTTTAATGCCCGCTACCGGTCATCGTCCCCAGGCCAAAACATACACCAACGCTCTTCTATCGAACATGTATTATGAGCGATTTATTGCTATGAAGTTGCGAAGCCACGCGTTGATACTTGTCATCGTTGCCGTGCTCGCGTTCTCAGCTTATCATTGAGAAAATGCAAAATCTCGACTATCGATACACTTCCCACAGAGAATCCAGCTCCCACGGTTCTATAGGGAATACTTTGCTGAGTGAAATGACCGAGTTGCTCGTAGGATGTTCTCCATCCGGGAATATGGGCGTTCAGACTTACAAAGAAGGTGGTTGATCAGCTCGAGCGTAGTGGTTTGACGGAGAGAGGTATGGCGAAAGAGATTGATGTGGGAGAGACGCGCGTAAAGACTGGCTTGTAAACCTCTAAGTTGCCTAAGAGGTTGGTTGAGAATTGTAATCGCCGTTTGGGTAGCACCCACATCTCTAGGAACGTTGTTAACGGTGGACACAGCTAGCCACACCCGTAAGCAGTGACGACATACGGAGTACGGTACGACCAGAGAGCTTGAATACGCGTACTCGCACCTAAGGGTGGATCCTACTTTCGTGGAATAACAAAACTGGCGTAACAGTAAAGCTTGTCACTATAATGCGGGGGGCTAGCTTGCACTAGTGCTTGGGGTGAGGCCGAATACGTTAAGAGAGAGAATACGCGAATGGGGCCTAAACTACTCTTGGTACAACATGGACACCGGATTCGCAACAACTCCTTAATGCGGCGAAGCAGATGGGTCAGTGGTACCTTTCTTTCGACACTATGTGTAATGTCCAATTTGGAGAAGAGGTATAAAACTTCAGATCAGCTGCTTTTACAGGGCTCATTTCATCAACAAATCATCAACCAGCATGGTAACCCAGAAGATCTTGAGCTTTACGGCTCTTCTAGCGCTCTGCTCTGAAGGTCTCGCCGTGTCAAACTCGACTGCAAAATGCGTACGTTCATGCCACTCTTAAGCACTCTTAATCCTTTGACAGCTGATTTAACACGACACCAGATTCCATCCGACCCCTGCTGGCCTTCACCGACAACATGGACGTCTCTCAATGAGACACTCACAGGCCGCGTTCTACCCACCACACTTCCTAGTTCCGTCTGCCCCGAAGGAGGGCCAGGAAGCGAAACCTGGATCGTCAACGCAACGAACGCAAAAGACGTACAAGCCACCCTCAACTTCGCCAACGAACACAATCTCAAGATCAACGTCAACAACACCGGTCATGCTGGTTACGGACGCAGTTCAACCTGCGGCGCTCTGTTCATTGCAACAGGTGAAATGAAAGGCGTCGACTTCCACGAGTCGTACACACCTCAATCTTGTTCAGCGAACCACTCCCACATGGCCGCCACACTAGGTGCCGGTCAACAAGACGACGAAACATTCCAAGCCCTAGCCAAATACAATGCTGTAACCGTTGGTGGCACCTTCGACACCGTAGGTATCGTCGGTTGGGCGACAGGCGGTGGACACGGCTGGCTCACAAGCAGCTACGGCATGGGCGCCGACAACATCTTCGAATTCGAAATCGTAACGCCCACTGGCGATATCCTTGTCGCAAACGAATGCCAAAACAGTGACATCTTCTGGGCTACCCGCGGCGGCGGTGGCGGCACATTTGGCGTCATAACACAGATAACGATGAAGGCATACCCTATGCCGCGAACGGCTGTCTGGCTCTGGAATATCCAAGGCAAGAACAACACTGATGCGAAGGAATGGTGGAGACTAGTTGCCACGCTTCACGCCAACATGCCAGCAGTGAACGAAGCAGGTTTCCAAGGTTACTACACCATTGCTGGTGCTAAAAACGGTCCTCTAGCCATGGGTGGGTACTTCATGGCGTACGACAAATCGAACTCGAGTTTGACGACCGCTATGGAGAACTTCCTCGCCCCAGCACGCGAATCTAGTAATCTCGTCTCTATCACAATGTCCAACCTGACCACGTACTCTCGCTGGATAGACGCCTACAATGGTCTCCCAAAGCAAACCCGCGACTCCTCCTCCGGACCCGGCGGTGTGATATCCACGACCCGCCTTCTAACTGCGGACTCGCTGACCCAAGACATCGAGGCTAGTGTCCGTATGTTCGAAAGTATTGGACCCCAGGCAGCAGACTACGAGAAAGGCATGTCAAGCCATATCCTCGCCGGCGCTCTAATCGCTTCCCCAAAGCCAGTAGATAGCGCGTTGAACCCAGCATGGCGCAAAGCAACCGTTCACATGATTGTGAAATCTGCGTGGGATACTGTTCTTCCCGAGACTACCGTACGCGAGTTCCAGGAATCATCAACGAACAGAACAGGCAGAGCTATGAGGGGACTTTCACCGGACTCTGGGTGCTATGTCAATGAGGTCGACAAGTACGAGCCTAATTTCCAAGAAGCCATGTACGGACCCAATTACCCCCGTCTTCGCGCTATCAAGGCGAAGTATGATCCAGAGAATCTGTTATGGTGTAGACGATGCATTGGGAGTGAAGAGTGGAAGTATGATGAGCGGGATGGGCGGCTCGAAAAAAGGGCTACTGAGGATGTTTGGCCGAATTTTGCTTACGGATTTTAACATCTCGCGTGTCATGCGAGGGTAGTACAAGAGGCAAAAGGAGTCATTGTGTGAGGTTTTGCACAATTAGAACTTAGTACCTTAACCAAGCCATAAGATAGATCTTAGATAGGAATAATAGCTGAGTCCTTTGCCTCAGCTTATCTTGTTTTCACAAGTCGACCTACTCCGTCCATCTCCCCGCCTCTAGATCTTCAACACCCACCTGCGCCCCCTCCTCCTTCAAAGCCCCTTCAAGCGCACCCTGCCCTCTCCATCCATGTCCAATCCTCCCTGTACTACTCAATCTCCCTACATCCTTCCCATTCTTCTCCATAAAGTACTCTTTTTGTTCCTCACTCGGCTCATGCTGTTTCTTCCACTGCTTACTTTCCTTGTCAAACTGGTACCCATTATACCAGTCCTCAGTCAGGGCGTCTGACCCATATTCCTCCATCAGCACTTCTTCGTACGCATATGGTACTTTGACCTTCACGCCTTCGAATGTAGATTGTCGGAGGGGAAAGAGCTGCGTGGAGAGGTAGGCGTGTGTGTCTTTGACGTAGAGTTGGGTTTCGCTATCGAAGGCATCGGGGTCGGCTTCGTGGGCTGAGGGGTGCGTGCTGGAGTAGGGGGAATCAGCGAGTTCCCTTTTTTCTCCGACGTGGATGGTTGTAATGTCGATGTAGAGACCGGTGGAAACATCGATCCAGCGGATGTCGATATGGTTGTAGATATCTGATGTCGATTTATTGGTGTAATTTGGGTTTACCTCAATCAGGTATTTTTTGCCGGTTGTTTTGAAGTCTTCTTCCCATGCGAGACGTTTTGAGCGGGTGTCTTCGTCTTCATGGTGCTGTTTCAAATCGAGCAATTCATTTCCTTGCTTGACTTGATTCTCTCTGTTGTCTAGTGCAATCTCGAGCCCTAGGTCCCGAGCATCGAAATGATGGACTGTCATGTTCCACCATGTTCCTAGTTCTGCAGCTCCTTCCTCTTCTACAATGAAATCCAAGTCCTTATCCCACGGCATTAGGCCTCCACCCCACCACCAACCTAGCAATACCCCGTGCATGATCCACGTTTGTACCCCAATCCTTTCCATCGTTTCCGTATACGCTTTCAACATAAGCCTGAGGTGCCATATTCGTTCTTGGAAGGGAACCTCAGAAGAAGCGAATCGGCCGTCATAATGACTGTTGAAGGTGGATTCGTAGAAGTATTTGGTCGGCGCGTGCGCGTACGTATGCCCGTTGGAAAAGGAGTTGACAAGGGGAGTGAGGCCGCGGAGAGAGCGGAAAGGTGTGCTTCTGCGTTCGACAGGAAGCGCAGTGATGAGCTGGAGGAAGGGCGCGATAAGGAGCGCAAGTTCTACGGGAAGTCTCATCGTGACTGAGGCCTTGTCGGTATGAAGCGCATTGTTCTACCGCCTCGTTGTCGCGTTCCGGACTATCCTATATTATGAAGGACGCTATAGTGGAGGAAGAGGTATGTAGATGCAACGAAGCATGGCAAGATGACCGCGGAAAAATCAAACGGCGTTTGCTGACAAGAGGGGATAAACAAAGAGCCGCAACGACTCGTTATCGTGTATCTACATGGTGGGCGATTCAGCGGAATACAGGATGGGGCAACGTGCAGAGCCAAGGAAGATCAAGCACGCGCCAAGGACCTATGCCGCCCGTCTCATGCTTCTAGCCCGCATGGTTTTTCCGAGGCTAATAGGCTAGCGGGCTGCCCTGGATGTGGAGTGGATTGATGCATCTTGCGTGTCCGGTTCGTTGTTTGTCGGTTATCGTGAGGTTTGCTGCTTGCGTGTCGTGTTGACGTTGAAATTGAAAGGAGTCTAAGTGCGGGCTAGCCACGCGCGCGGCAGTGAAGTCTGGCAGGCTAGGCTGCGCGTCCTCTAGGCCCGCACGTGCGATGCCGCATGGCAAACACGCGTCGCGCTAGATTTGGTATACGATAGCACAACACAATCGGAAGTCATCGGAACCACCGGCGAGATCGAGTAGAGATCATGTTTTGAGGAGTAGATGGTGAACCAGACATTCAGTCGATTTACCGCGATTCTCCACTATACCACTCGATGATGTGCAGGTACGATCCGGTGCGCTATTAGCTGGCAAAGGTGCGCTTCGGTCCGCCAAGTAACTCGGGTCCAGAGGAGATGGAATACCCATGGATTGATTATGGTGACGCTAATGTACGGTATCAAGAGCCGCATACAGACACTGGGGTTTCAAATTCATTCTGTCGTCATCATTGTCGATCAACATCGTCAAGGCATGAACCCAAACGAGGTAGAGTGTCAGTTTGGAACCCATAGCATCACTTCCCAAACACAACTGCATGATTATGTGATTACTTGAATTGCATTTCATAATTCTACAACCACACAATCTGACCAGCATTGGGTTGATTTATACCATGGGGAAAAAGAACCCAAGTACAAGTTTCCCATCATCTACACATATCAACATGGTGAGCTCCTCCAAACGTACTGATCACAGCTGGCAAAACAAAAGGCAACCTCCTGTTCCACCAGCTGGCCAACGATCCAATAAAGCTCCATGGCTCAAATCCAAACACGCCATTTGAGAGAACGGACGCCGCTCTGAACGGCTAATTACACTTTCCACCGCTTTTGTTCGTGTGAAGTATACACCGAGAAAAATAAGACAATCCGGTGCTCGAGTATGTAGTACCGGAGAGACGAAATCGAAAAACAAGAACTGTATGTTCATTCATGAAAGAAGACGCCAATGTACGCCGCCCGATGTTGAAAACGCCACAGTTGTTAAGTGAGCGCTGAATACGCGAAAACCAGGAAAAGAGAGGGAAGGAGAATCTATCAACAAGCACGTCTGCGGCACCGGCAAACACAGCAACTAACAAGGAAACCCAGAAAGCCAGCAATTAAAGGGGTATATTTGCGAAGCTTGGAAAATCACTCAGATCCCTTCTCGTATTTGACAGGGTGGAAGAGTGTGTTGCGCATGCATAACCGGCCGGTGCCGTTCTCTTCTTCAACTGGGCCGCCCTTGTCGTTCTCGCGGGAGCCGAGCCATCTCCGCCACCACTCGGATGAGAAACCGGCGTTGTAGTAGAAGCTGGTGCCGAGCTGGTTGTGCTCACCCCAGCCGAAAACGCTGTCAGTTGGCTTTGGGGGCTTGTTGAAAGTGCCGTCGAGAGCCTCGAGCGGCCAGTTGTGGTCAAGGTACACGGGGTGTGCAGCGTAGACGGCCTTGAGGCCGTGGTGGAATGCGACTGTTGGTGGCCACATTTCAGGGAACATGTGGTGCTTCATCAAGTATGTTTCGCGGTGCATGAGATCTAGTAGACGTTTTGACAGGCGCGAGACAGTAATAATGGCACATCGTCGCGGAGGCTCTGGAAGCTCGAGGTCGTAACCTGTGACATCGTCGCGGAACACCCAGTTGGTCTTGGCCGGGTCAAAGATTGGGTTGAATGTGATTATGTCGGCGTCTTCACCAACACCCCACTCGTAGTTGTCCTGAGAGTATGAATGCGGGGGCTCGGTCTCGGGAGGGCTGGGAAGCATGCCGGTGTTCTCGAACTTGGGCGGGCCCCAAACAGGCTTCTCATCGCTGTTGTAAAGCTCCTCCTCGACCGTGTCGGTGAAGTTCTTCCAAGAGCCGTGGAGCTCAGGAATGTAGTAGCGGGATGATCGCTCCCACAGACCCTTGCGGGGTTGCTTCTTGGCCCATTCGCCAATCTGGTTGTGGAACTCGTAGTAGTGACCGCTGAGACGGAGATCCATCTCCCAGTTCCAGTAGAAGTCGTACTCGGGACGAGCCTGAGCGAACCATTGCATCGCAAAGTGAGCGCTGCGGTACACAGAGTGAACGGGAGCTTTGGCGTGGTTGTAAACGTTGTTAGGGAAGGGCTCTGGGTAGTACATGCGCATCTGCTGCTCGGACCAGAGAGTTGCCATGCCCCAGAACTCCTTGGGCAAGTTGTCTTCAATGACCTTTTGGTAAATCTCCTCAGAAGACCAGATAGGAAGGCTATCATCTTTGACGTGGAGTAGGAAGTGGACATCGTACTCGCCCCCAGATTTGAGCGCGAGCTCGTTGATCATGGCGCGCAGAGTAAGAATCTGGTAGTCGCTGTACTTGTAACCGGTCCAGGTGCGAAGGACGTAGGCGTGACGGGGCACCTTCTTCTTTGCAGGTGCACTCTCGTCAGTTGTGTTCTTCTTGAAGCGGTGGGCGTTCTTCTCGCGGCATCGCTTCATGGCAGACGCCCAATTGACCTTGCGGTAGTCGACCTTCTTTTCGTAGCTCCAGAGCTTATCAGCACCAGCCTTTTCAGACTTGCCGTCCATGTCAAGACCACCCTCATCGCGAGAGTACGAGTAGCCATAGGGACCAAGACGACCGAAGCGGTCGAAACACTTCTTGTCATCGAAGCCAAGCTCCTCGTAGGAACCGAAGAAAGGCGCAGTCATGTTCTGAGGAATACCGGGATAGGCGTAGATGTCGGGGAGATCGACAGTCTCCTCCTCATCGAGATAGCATTGCTTTACCTCGTCGTGCTCCTTGAGGTACTCGGGCGAGTCGAATTTGTACGGGTCGAAAGGTTGCATCTCGAGCGGTGGCTCCTTGTCTTCCTTGGACATGTGCGGCCACTTTGGCTTGATGTTGTCTTCTGGGTTGGGGCTTTGCGAGTACTTGACAAAGTCCTGCTCAGACACCCAGTCACCGTAGGGAACGAGCGTGCGAACGCCGTTGAAGAAGCCATTTAACCTGGCAAATTAGTATTCGATGCCTGCAGTGGCAAGTGAGTATGCTTACCGTGGGTAGTGCTCCCAGTGGTACTGTTTCCGCTCATCGCCAGGTTGGTGCTGGTGGTTCCACCTGTGCCGCCTGTAGATGCCCGTGCCCAGCATCGAAGCCAGCAACACGATGGTCACGGCGAGTGTGATGAGACGCGCGAAAGATAGTCGTGGGCGCTGGAGGCGGTTGGCCCAGGCGGGTTGGCTGTACTTCTTGCCCCATGACTTGCTGCTGAAGAGCGGCAGCGGTGATGAGGCCTGGCTGTCCTGGCCGGGCACCTTTTCGTAGTTGAAGCGCGTTCGGATGAACAGCTTGCCGGGATTGAATCGCGAGGCCATTGTCGTGATCAGATGTGCGGATGTGCTGTACAGCGTGTGGGTTGCCTATCGCATCTGCGGCGAGGCTGCGCAAAGGAGGTCGCTCGGGAAGGCGGGTAGCACTTGTTGTGATGGGTATACTCGGCCGCGCGAGTGATGTCGGAAGACAAGACGGAGCAAGAGACTTGGGACGACAGCGGAGAGTGAAACGAGTGACTGTCCTGGAGACGAAGGCAGGATTATGGCGATGGCTTGGAGCGTTGGGGAAGAGGGCGCGGGCTGAGAAGGAGCGACCGACCCTTTTTCCCTCGTTGCTCGCCCCAGACAGCCTAGCGCTGCTTCGCACCTGCCGTCGCTGTAGCGCTAGCTTACAAGGGTCAACCACCGATTTCTGGAGCAAGACGGCGGAAATGCATGGGCTAGTCCATGCACCGGTCCATTCCAAGACACGCAAAGCTCTCCAGCTACTGCTCATCATGGGCGATCCGCTCCCTCCGCGTCTTTGCTGAGTTCCCATCCAAGACGGCCTTGAAGCCTCTGGTGCGTTATCGTCGAGTGCCGCCCGCCACCAAATCAAATGGCGCCCAGCTATCAATTCACTCTATCGGGCCCTGCATGAGCCATGGCAAAGCGCACTATGCAACGGCCTGCCTTCCCGCCTCAACAACGTCGGGCGGAGCTTCTATTTTTTCTTGACGTCTTGCAAGTCTTGACGTCGATGGCGGGTCCTACGACAGACGACCAGTATTGCGTCTATGCATCCCCCTTCCCCTGCCGCGACAGACGAAGCTGGACGAATGATGAAATTGTGTGCTGAAGGATTTGGCCGTTGCTCAACCCCTGGGCGTTCGCAGAGACAAGGTGGCGTTGTCTGTGATTGGCTTAATCAGCGCCCCTAGCCTTGCATCCGACACCAGCGTACGCGTCCTCTTCGAACGGCGCGGGCGGAAGAGTCTAGGCTAAAAATAAGCCATCAGCGAGCCATGGCAAAGTGGGCTCAGCAATGCAACGAGAGCAGCTGCATGGACGCCTGAGGTGTGCGCTGCTGATATAATAGTGTTGCATTGCCTCCTCGCAAGCTGAAGCTGTCAATTTGCATGTCACCTGTTCAATGCCTGCAATCAGTGGTGTTGAGCCATTTCGGCCCCTCTGACAGGCCCCACAGTTCCAATACTCTGCTGCTGCAGAACATGGGCAAGACTCCGCAGGAGCACATGGTATCCCACACGATGACGTCCAACCGCGTGGATCCCGTCTGAGAGTTGTGATCCTCACCTTGTTTGGGTCCATCCGACTGTCAGCATTCGCGACCTGTCGTGGTTTCCAGGAGCAACAAAGCGGGCACGCTGGCACAAGGCCGAACTGTATTGTCGCCACAACAACTCAAAGCGGGGGTACTGCTTCGACCGTCTCGTCTCTTGACGCCACTCCTGTAACCGTGGCGATTAATCCCGTCTATATAGCAGATATCGCGATGCATCTTCATCGAGATAAGCGCACGTCCGCGGTGCCAACCACCCCGCAACGACCATACCTCAAAGCTCGATCTCCTTGAAACAGATGGCTTGCTGGTTCGGCACCTCTCCGGGGGAACGATGGATTGGGCAGAGGCCAATATTCAAACAATATTGACCTGAGGTCTGGCCATCAAAAAGTGAGCACGTGTAGATCGTGGATTAAGCGCCGCAGTCGACGACAATCGTGAAGGCTCTTCAAGCGTGTTGTGCCTACGCCCTGATAGAAAACTCCACACCTTTGGCTTGCGCGTTGGATGTGCAAGTGCGACTCGAAACTTGCGTGGCTTTTACGCGTGTGCCTTCTCTGCTGGATCGAGCTCTGATGGGAACTAGTGGGGACTGTAGTGAGTTGCAGCGTTGTGCTATAATGGTCCAGCGCCTCTTGGCTTGCGAGAAGGCGCAGAAAGCTATCGCATCTCTGCACTTGCACTAACGCCTAGTGAGAAGCAATCGGAAGCGACACACCCTCCAAGCTGGCAATGCATCTGGATCGCGATTCGCGTTGGAATTGTGCTGCGCCATTCTGCAGACTGGAAAGAATATGAGCAGATCTTCTCATCTCCCGTAACCTTAAGCACGTTGTACCGAAAGAACAACAGAGACAAGCTTCGAGTGTTCCTTGGATGTATTGAGGGCGCACGAAATAAGCTTATAGGGTCATCGTCGATTTCATTAGTGTTAGCAGATGCTAGGATCTTCCCAAGGGCGATCCTCTGCCCAGATGCTACCTTCTTTCGTCTACGAAGATATATGATTTGTGGTTTCGAAAGCAAATGGGAACGCGCAAACTCTCATGTATCAGTAATGTGTGTTTACTTGTCCTTAGGAATTCGGCCTGTCTCATCTGGAGGGGGTGTTTCCCTGCGCGGAAGTCGTGAGTGGCTCGCTGTCGCCGAATGAATGATTTGTTTTTTCACCCCCAGATGACGTATGTGCAAAAGAAACAGCATGATCACTGCATACGGGAATTTGTTGCTTTTGTTCCAATGGTCGGGGTACGTAGGTGACTACCATGAACACACTGCGAGGCTGCGCCGGTGATGAACCAATCAAAATGAATCAAGCTCCGAACGCGGACGGGCCTTCAAATCTCCGACGTTCCTGCCACTTTCGACTCATCGCAACGACCCCACGTTCTGGAGCATTATACCAGACAACTTTGAACCCTAACCGCAAATATGCCTGGAACCAGAGGCCCCGTGCCTGTACCACTCGAAACGAAAGGTCAAAATCTCACACAAGAAATCCTCGACCTCTTAGATACAAAAGAGCCTCTCCAGAGCAATGAAGACTTCCCCGCAATATCGCAGGCCGAAATCAAGGCTGCGTTGGATAGGCTAGCAAGTCGTTCGATGGTCGCATACAAGTCGTTGGACTCAGAAAAGGTCGTACTCACACCAGAGTCGGAAGGCATAGTAGCAGAAGGCAGCCACGAATTCAAGGTCTGGAAATATGTCAAAGAGAAGGAGAGGGTTCCAATCGCAGATCTGCCTGTAGGTATACCATTACCAAGTAATTTTTTAACGTGCGTCTGACAGCAATACAGAACGTCTTCGGTAAAGAGGCTGCAAGCGTAGGACAGGGTAATGGTTTCAAGAACAAGTGGATCAAGAAGGACGGTAGCGACGTCGTCCTGCTCCAGACTGAAGAGCCAAAAGACCTCAACCGCGAACTCCTCCAGGGTATCAAAGACACCCAATCCCTCGACGACGCCAAAATGCTTGCGCAGCTGAAAAAGAAGAAGCTTGTCACCGTTACGAAAGTCATCACATACACAATCACAAAGGGCCCCAAGTACGCAAAGGAGATACCAGTAGAACACACCGACTTGACTGTCGAACTTCTCGCCAACGACGCGTGGAAGACTGCAAACTTCAAGCCATACAATTTTGCTGCGCTCGGCGCAAACCAGGAGTCTGGCGCATTACATCCTCTGAACAAGGTCAGGCAAGAGTTCAGGAATATCTTCTTCTCACAAGGTTTCGTCGAGATGCCGACAGGACAGTATGTATTGACCCGAACATCATATGAGTATACGACTAAAATCTTCTAGCTTCGTCGACACTGGTTTCTGGAACTTCGATGCCCTCTTCGTACCACAACAACATCCCGCCCGCGACATGCAAGACACTTTCTTCGTCTCATATCCACCAAAAGCCGACAAGCCACGGTTAGACCCCGCGAACGAAGCTACGATGGACCGCATGGAGGCCGGGTCAAAACGACTCTTCTCCACACCCGAGAGTGAGAAGAAGGAAAAGAAGCCCCGAGACTTTGAGAAGTACTGGGAAGATGTCAGGAAGGTTCACCAAGATGGCGCTTTCGGCTCGATAGGATGTACGCAACCGCTGATCCTCATATCTAACATGAACCATTGCTAATCCCACATGCAGACCGCTACCCATGGGAGGAAGATGAGTCCCTCCGCCTCGTCTTGCGCACACATACCACCGCCGTCTCAACATGGGCACTCCACCGTCTCGCCGAAGACCCACGTCCTGCGCGCTACTTCTCCATCGACCGTGTCTTCCGTAACGAAACAGTCGACGCAACCCATCTCGCCGAGTTCCACCAGATCGAAGGTGTAATCGCCGACTTTGGTCTCACCCTCGGTGGCCTGATGCGCTTCTTAGAAGACTTCTTCGCCAACATGGGTCTCACGAACCTGCGCTTCAAGCCCGCTTTCAACCCCTACACCGAGCCCAGTATGGAGATCTTCGGCTTCCACGTTGGCCTTGACAAGTGGATCGAGATTGGAAACAGTGGCATGTTCAGGCCAGAGATGTTGGAGCCCATGGGCCTGCCAAAGGACATGAGGGTTTATGGATTTGGATTGAGTTTGGAGAGGCCGACTATGATGAAGTATGGAGTTAGCAACATTAGGGAGTTGCTGGGTCACAAGGTTGATTTGAGCTGGATTCGGGAACAGCCGGCGGTGCGCTTTGACAAAGAGTAAACCATGGGACGGATCAGGAGAAATGAAAGGGAAAAGATTAGACGATACGCATGACTGTTACGATAGGAGACGAGTCTTGTGGAAATGATATCCAAAATGAGACTAAAAGTCTTTTGAGAGATGAGTTTGTCCGTTCGTATTTACTCCATGACTGGTATGCCGTCTTTTACAACAATCTCACCCGTCATCCGTTGGCTGAGCTTCGTCTGCCAAATCTGTGCGAAATTCTGTCGCCTTCAGGTGTGTTCGTCTCCACCGTGCCGCGGCGTGCTCTACCACAGTTGCGACTGTCTGTGTATGAGCTCTGCACTTCTTCTGTACGCAGTCTTTGACCACACATTATGTGTCCTCTTGAAGCCTTACTTGAATAACATCTGTTTTGAACCCACCAACATCTTCATTCTTTCTCCAAACTGCTCTTGACATCCTCTTCGATCATCTTGTTCCTTGCGCCCTTGTATATCCAGCTCTCCCCGTCTTTGATACCCCACCTCTTCTTTGCCCATATCAATCCATCCTGGCCCAGTCCAAATCCAAGCCCAACAAGCAATCCCATCCGTATCGTCCTCGCAGCCGTGCTCACAGGAAATTGATGCCACGCACTCCACAGCCCACCCGTAACCATACCCGCCAACCCACTCGATACGAAGTCCCTACTCCCATCCACCCCGCGATCGATTCTCCGCATATCCAATTCGTCAACACCTTCCATCTCCTCCATTGTGCGCCCCGCGCGCCATGTCCCGCGGAAGACATCTAAACTCTCTTCCACGATGAAAAATATTGAGGACCACGCTGCAATGTATGTACCCTTTTTCAACCCTTCGACAATGCCATAGCGCCATTTGTAATAGTTCTTGGACTTGTGGTAGAGGTACCACCCGGGGTTTGAGATGGGCAGACGATGCGCGTTTTCGGCGCGGAAGCGCAGAGAGGCCATGTGACCGGCGTTGAGAGAGCCGAGGGTGAAGCCTGAGAGGAAGGAGAGCGAGGTTGTGAGGAGGAGGCGGCGGTCAAAGGGCATGCCTAGGCGGGGAGCGTAGGGGAGGGGTTGCGATGGTCGCGAGGGTTGTCTTGCGAGCATTTCTGGGGTCTCGATTGTGGATTGTTGGGGCGATGTTGTTGCCATTGTGAGTTTGGTGCCCTGCGTTGGGCGAGTGAGTGGTCTTGTAACTATAGAAATGCGTGTCTGGTGAGGTTTGCGATGGGTGCGGAGGTGGTGCGGAGATTCTCGAGGTTCGATATCGTCGAAAACAGGAAGGAATGCTAGTAATGATGTTGTGTTTTTCACGAGGCCTGAATAATGTGCACTTGGAAATTGGAAACGAAGATAGCCTTTACCGTATGAAGAAGGGAGTTCCGAGTATGTCAAAGTCGCGGAAGCTTGTGAGATCACTACGCCAAGATTTCCATGCAGGGATGCGGGTCGCGCTTTCCCTCCCCGCGAACCCCCTCCATTGCTTTAGCAACAACGCGTCTAGATCCTCCGAACACTTCAGTTGCATCCGAAAATATTCGACAATCTTGAATACACGCGTACAATACATATCAGGCAACTCCTTATCACTGTGGTTCATCGCCACCTTAGCAAGTAACAATCTCCATTACAGTAATACGGTCACAACACGTCACAATGGCGACACCTTCACCACAGACATGGACGCTTCGCCTCAAGTCTCACAAAACCACCGTCATCCTCCATGTCGACCCATTACATACCTTCGACACGATCAAAACCTACCTATACGACGCTCTTCAAGAAACAGGTTTCAAGAACTCTACCGGCGAATCGATACCACTACCCTCGTCTGCTTCGGACATCCAGCTCGGCCGCCCGGCAAATATCAACGATGCATCCGAGGGTTTCACACTAGGCGAGTGGGAAGGGGCATACATAGTTAGCGACGAGGAACAGGTGGAGGGCAAGGGCAAGGGCAAAGCTACCAAAGCAAACGCAGGTGGTAGTTCAAGTGCTGGAGCAAGGGCTGACACAGAAAAGATCAAGCAATGTCCCAAGGGCGCGGGACTGAAAGATGGCGCTGTGCTGGCTTTCAGGTGGGCTGGCGATGGCAGCTGGGACGGTGAAGATGAGTTCGATCTCAGCAAGGACAGTCGAAAAGATGACAACATGTGGGGTGTTACGCTGGCGAGCTTTGAAGACGCGTATGGTGTTGAGAATGAGACGGATGTTGGTGGCAGACCGGAGTTCGAGGGCTGAGTGGGGATGAACTATCATTTGGACCTCGCATACACGGGTTCGCTGTATGAAGAGAGCAGAAGTGATACAATGTCGAGACTATCATCTGCAGAGACACTCATTGCGAATGCCCGCTACACTTTGTAAGCCGAACTTGGAGAGCTTTCGATAACGGCGTGACTGACTGCTGCTTAGCGACCTCGCGAAGTTCTGTGGCCTATCAAACGTACCTTCAGCCTCGCGGCATCTGATCAAAAATCGGCCAGCACAGCCCCGCTTTGCGCATTGCATATCTTACGTGTATCAGCTGTCTCTTCTTGCCAACATCGCTTCTCTACCGTCAGCTTCACTGTCACGTAGTCATTAAGATGGACGCTTTCATTAGGATGAAAGCTACATCCCACCATGCTTTAGCAGCAAAAGATGACATCTTTTTCAAGCATCAACCTCTCGACCTCTCTAAACCAACAATACGGCTTGTGCACCTGCTTCCGCTCCCATCGCCTAATGGTCACATCCAATGTTCCATTTCGCACGCTACTATCGGCTCCACATACACTTGTCTATCTTACTGTTGGGGAGATCCCAACCCATCATGTCTCATTGAAATCGATGATAAAGCTTTCGCCATCGGCCACAATCTTTTCGACTTCCTTGCTGCCGCACGTAGAACAGCTGCCTGCGATGACTCTCTTGCAACGGGGCCATACTGGATTGATGCATTGTGTATCGATCAGTCGAACGTATCCGAGCGGAATCACCAGGTTCGTCAGATGGGGACGATCTACGCTCAGGCAATACAAGTGCACGTTTGGCTCGGCCCTGCGCTACCGGACATTGCTGTGTCAAGATCAAGGAAGCTGAGGTCTAGCTATGAAAGACAGGACTTTTTGGACACCAATAGCACAGACGAACTCTTGCAGCACGTCTCAGAGAACGTATATTGGACTCGCGCGTGGATTGTACAAGAGCTGGTGCTTGCTCAGCAGGTAATCATATGTATAGGCCCGTTGTTTTTGGACTTGGATGATTTTGACTGGAGAACGCGGCCAAAATGGGAGTCAGTTCCGACGATTCGAATCAATCCTTTCTGGCGACTCAACCGCATCCGATGTGGAAGGCTTTTCAACGACAAATTATCTATCAGAAAATCTCTAATTCGTTTGATAGAGTACTTTCATGATAAGCAGTGCTCTGATCCTCGAGATCGTATCTTCTCATTGCTTTCAATAGTGAGAGGTGAGGGCGAAGACCTAGAAGTCGATTATGGTCTCTCCCGAGCAGAACTAGCGTTCGAGGTGTTGCGCAAATGCGAACGCTCCCTGTGTCTTTGTACGGCTATACTAGTTGCACAGACGCTACAGCTGGATATCGATGGCCTCGAGCCCGATCTTCGGCTACTACCCTGCCTTGAGTTTTGTATCAAAGACATCCCTGTATCATCCGACTTCAGCCAGGGACGGCAAAGAGGAGTATGGGAGGAATGCGTTCGATCTGGTCTGGACTTTGGAGCCACTTGCAGATGCAGTGCGTTGTATCCTTGGAGACTCAATCCGTATCTGACATATTTGGATAACGCTGAATCTCTGCACCGAAGGCCAACACAGATGGAAGATATCACTTTCAGACCGGTTGAAGGGCTAGATGATATCTATATAGTGCGCATATCACTCTCGTTCCTAGCGACAATCGTGCAGCACCCTGTGGAACTGTGCCCGGACGTACAGTACAAGTCAAAAAGCGATCGTTTTCCTGTCGGCTATCCGCGAATTTGCTATGCCACTGACCCCCTGCAACCACCAGGGGCCACAGATTCTTCGTCCCTTTTTGTTCGTCTTCAGTCGCAGCCGTCAGGACCAGTAGAAAAGCAAAGCCCTGCCGAGTACGAGCGTTTTTCGTGGAAGCAGTACTCCGCAAGTATCTTGGATGCAGTAAAAGCCTTGAGATCGTCACCACTCATAAGCATTGGAAGGAAATACTTGTGGAGGGATGATCCAATATCTGGGCGTATACGAAGTGCATTAATTGATAACAAAGAATGGCTCGAGGTATTGGAATTCGAACGAAGGAAGAATGGGAGAGACATGAATGGTTTTCGGTATGGACTTTACTAATACTCAAATGGAGCAACATAGTTAGAAATGCTTCAGGGAAGACACGAATTTGCAATGTGAAAATGGTTGAAACAAGTGTTTACATGCATATGATGAAGACCAAGAAGGGCAAAGATCCACCCAGAACACAGCCAAATTACTGGAGGGCAGAAAACAAATTCTAAAGATTGCAAGCTCGATGGGAACGACCAGATGGAAGCTACGTGCCGTTGCTTTACCTCTATCTCTTTCCAACCAGAAAGAAATAAGACAAAGTCTACCATCAATAAAAACAGGCTCGCATAAACGAAGTGTTGTGCATTAGCGGACAGATGATAGCTTTGAGCTGATTTCTTGTTACAGGATTTGCAGGAATTGTTCAGCTGAGTAACGAGGTGGGCAAAACAGAGACTGCCTTCGGTGAGAATTCATTAAGTAAGGGCGACTTTCAACATGATAACAGGGCATCGTGGCGATACAAAAGTAGCTCTTGGAATGATTCATTGAGGTGAGTTCTGATGAGTTTTGCAGTAAACCATTTGTGTGCTTTTTGAATACTTTGTGTTCTACGGAGGAACTACTACTTAGCTAGATGATCTCGAATGCGCGCAATGAGCTTTTCAGCCCCAAGTAAACAGGCCTTCAGTCATGGACGACGTAGTATTGGTTTGCTTCACGACAGGAAGTGGACGGTTTCAATTGGCGTCGAATCCTTATGTTGTCATCACCCAAGCAGCGTCTGCCGTGCCGTAAAGTTGCATTACTTGACAGGCCGCTATGTCATGAATGGACTAGCTAGTCAGACGTGTCATAACCGGTCCGACCCAGTCTTTTACGCGTAGATGTAACTTCTTTATCTCCCAAAGACCCCGAAACAACACTGTATCTTTCACTAATCTGCTTCTGAATGCTTTCACCTGAGGTCTTTTGATTGACCTCACCGCAAAGATAATGCTATGCGACGACCTAGCTCTGGACTATGCGGACCGGACATACGAGGCCTGGAAGCGAAAGCTTGACGCTGCGCAGGAGGCAATTATCCAATTTGTGACCAAGAGACTCAAAAGCCATGTGGCTGGAGAGTTTGGCGGCTATCTTGAAGGATCTTACAACATATGCTTGATCGTCAAGGTCAGCGCAAAGCCCACATATGTGATACGCTTCCCAAAACCAGGACGTACCGCGGTATGTTTCATAGAGGAGAAAGTTCGGAATGAAATTCAAATCGTGTCTCTGCTTCGAGAGAAAACCACGATTCCCTTGCCAACAATCTATACCTGGGGTATGACTGATGATAGCCCATCGCAGATTGGGCCGTTCATCATAATGGAATATATCGAAGGAAGGCGATTGATGGAAGCATTAAAACAACCTACGGAAACCAAAGATGGCAAAGTCGATCTTTGGAAAGACTTGGGCAACTCAAGAGTACTTCATGCCTACACCCAGATAGCTGACTATCTGCTGCAAATTTATCAACTGGATTTCAGCGCAGCCGGTGCTATCAGCAGAAGCCACACACGTGATTGGGTGGTCACCGAACGGCCTCTCACAAACCATATGAATAGTTTAGCAACCGATGTTTCGAACTATCCAACCCAACTTCTCCCCACTTCATGCTGTAGCTCGCCAAGGATGTACTTTCAGCAGCTCGCCGACCAGCATCTGAATCATCTCCATACTCATCGAAACGCAGTGGGCAATCTCGAAGATGCAAGGAGGTATTTCATTGCCCGTCATCGTCTCAAGCAGTCCATAGACAGATTTCTATACACCAACAACAACACAAGTCCTTTCAAGATCTACTGCTATGATTTTCGCCCATCGAACATGATCGTGGACGAAGATCTCAACATCAAAGCTGTTGTAGGTTTCGAATTTTGGAATGCGCTGCCCGCGCAATTCGCCCATGGCCCACCCTGGTGGCTCACTTCATTGCGACCAGATGAGTGGATTGACCGTGGCTTCGATTTTGAAGCACTAAAATCAAGACTTGAGCCGCATGTTGAGCAATTCCTACAGGTAATGGAGAAAGTGGAGAAGGAAAAAGCCACGGACGAGCCTGTGGCGTTACTATCCGTTCCCATGCGAGACTCATGGATCTCCGGCAGATTTTGGTTCAACCTTGCGATGGATGACAGCTGGACTATCGATGCTGTCTATTGGGCTGCGCTACATAAGCCTGGAGACGAGGTGCTAGATGAAGCTATGGAGGATGAATTGAAGGCATTTTATCATGTGAAAATGAAGCAACTGGAAGCGTTTAACGTAGAGTGCAGGGAGCGTGGAATCTGAGATGCAGGTCATGTACGGAATTGGATCATGATAGCATGGTCACATGAACCACACTATATCTCGAAAATTTATAATTTCAGACTTTGTCCAGTATTGCTTTCTTCCAAGCTTACGTATGGAGTCAGAACAGGCGTAGAAGCAGTAGGGGTAGCCGACATTTTACGCGACTTTACGCTTTGCATTGCCATATGGCCATGCTGATGCTAGTGAAACGCATATGCAATAGATTCTATGGATAGTTTGATTACCCAGGAGTAGAATCCCTGTTTTGTGGGGTGCAGCAACGTGCTTTTCGATGTGAAGGTGCGGGCCGGACAGCATTATAGTCCCCATGATCAATTTCCAACGCTAGTCATCGTAGCTACCTAGATGAGCTAGTATGTTTGAAACCATCCCGACAGCGAGCCAATCGCGTAGTTGGTCATTGCAACGACTACGATGAATGCGGTAAGTGGCCGAAGCGTTGTACATTGTTCGGTCACGGCTGGGGAAGAAGACGGACGCGCTCCGGTACTCTGAGCGTTAAGCGGGTCGGTACACTTCGCAGAGGAATATTCCACGAATCTGGGGTACGGCACATGGGTATGAGCCGGAGATACTAATGCAATGCGGCTCGCGAAACTCGTGGAAGTAATCGAGGATGCATCATCATCTCTTCTCCGGCGAAATCAATCTAGTCAGCCGAGTGTCTGAAATACTTGGAGGCCGACTTAGACCCAATAGAAGTTTTAAGAATCTTTACGCTCATCAAGGGTGTGACAGACTACTCAGAGCAGGGGACGGAAGATCGCCGTGTTCGAAGAGGATATGGAAACCGCTGATCATGAGATCGCAAAAGATGATGTGGTATATAACTACCAGAGAAATGCATCTTTATGCTTCTCGCCAGGTCATTCAATCGCTCAAGTGGTGATTCATCACAGCTTCCTTCGTTCCACAAGATCCGTTAAGGCGGCATTCTTTCCATTATGTTCTCCAAGATCACATCTCTTCTCGCCCTTGTGGCAACGGCCAACGCGCATGGCTACCTCTCTTCTCCGATGAGCCGAACTGGCTTGAATGCGCAAGTGAGTGTGCTAAGCCTTGACATGTCTGAATACGGTCATTGACACATCGTAGTCTGGTGCGGATACTTGCCCGGAGTGTACTATCCTCGAACCCGTCACAGCATGGCCAGACCTTGACGCCGCAAAGGTGGGTCGCTCGGGCCCTTGCGGATACAACGCTCGCGTATCTGTGGACTACAACCAGCCCGGCCCTCGTTGGGGTTCACAACCCATCATCACCTACAAAGGCGGTGATGTGGTAGATGTACAATGGTGCCTTGATGCCAATGGTGACCATGGCGGCATGTTCAGCTACCGCATATGCCAGAATCAAGCCATTGTCGACAAGCTCCTAACCCCTGGGTACCTTCCGACTGAGGCAGAGAAGCAGGCAGCAGAAGACTGCTTCCAGGCCGGTGAGCTGAAGTGTACCGATGTTCCCGGCCAGACGTGCGGTTACAACTCCGACTGTCAACAAGGCCAAGCTTGCTGGAGGAACGACTGGTTCACATGTAAGTGCATCTTCGCCTGTTTGACCAAGGGCATTCCGACTGATACCGAAAAGGTGGCGGCTTCAATGACGGTTCGAAGTGCAGGAGCGTTGACAACGCAGCTCTCAACTCGTGCTATACCAGCATCGCTGGCGGATACACAGTCAGCTCAAAGATCAAGATCCCCAACTACACGAGCAACCACACGCTATTGTCTTTCAAGTGGAACTCATTCCAGACTCCACAGGTCTACTTGACTTGCGCGGACATCAAGATCACAGGCAGCGGCCCAGGCGGCTCCACCCCACCCACTTCGAGCAAAGCTCCAACGACTACAACGAAACCGACTTCCACGGCGGTACCCAGCGGTTGCGCGACACCCGTTGCTACTGTAGCTGTGACATTCGACTCCAAGACCACGACGGTCGTGGGCCAGACAGTCAAGATTGTTGGGTCGATCGCCCAACTTGGTAGCTGGAACACAGCCTCTGCACCCGCGCTCTCTGCGAGCCAGTACACCAGCGCGAATCCGCTCTGGTCCACGAAGATCAACTTACCGGCTGGCACCAGCTTCGAGTACAAGTTCATCAAGGTCGAGAGCAGTGGTACCGTGACGTACGAGTCGGGTGCTAACCGTGTATATACCGTGCCGAAGGGATGTTCGAGCACAGCCACCGTTGCTAGCACGTGGAAGTAGGCCTTTCGATAATCGTTTGGATACGGGTGGCCACAAATGTTCTGAGGGGCAGAGCAGGAAAGCTTGTGATATGTTAGTCATTATTGAACGCATGGAATTATGTCAAACCCTCGTTGGAGCCAGCCGTGCAAAACTAAGCCCGTGATGGAACATGTTATGATTCCTGGCCGTGTTACAGATATTACCGTATAAGTGTCGGAATCTTTAGTGATTCAACGTTCCGGCAAAACTCCGCGAGGGAAATATGCCATGCTTGGGCTGTCGCATCGTAGGGAACAACCTCAAGAACTCGGGAGGCTGGGAAGCTTCGTTGTTCGTCACGTGTCCGCGTCCATGACGCACTAATCTCCTCTAAGTCGCGGATCTGACACGCTCATCTCTTCCCTTCCTTTTTCAAAGTCTCTCGAAGCACAAACATCATCCCGCCTATTGAGATTAGAAAGTTAGTCAAAGTAACGGCTGAATCTGCAGAGACAAGCCGGTTTCTTTTGTGCTGATGACGCCATCTGTGCCTCGACCGGGAACACGGTACCTTGCGTCTTGGCAATCCGTCGCGTTCCTGCCACCCAAATGCTCATCAGGCCGGCAACATATCAAGCTCCATCTGGCAGGTCGTGTAACCACAACATGCGTATCACCAAGGACCCCGCTCCTATCAGCGATATTATTGTCCAGAATGCACAAGGCCAACGTCCGCCCAGATGCCGGCTCAATAAAAGTCGGTTAAGCCGTGGAAAGCTTCCTTGGCACACAGCTAATAAGGCAGGTGCGTACATGCAAGATCTTGGCAGCGATTGTGATGCTCCGCTCCGCATGTTGTGACACCGCCCGTGAACCCGGACTGCATATAACAGCATCTCAGGCGGACATGGTTCTCTAGAAGTTCTTTCTGCACTTCCGACTTCTTCACACTGTCTCAGATTGTACACGAGAAGATGGCGATGAAGACAGCGCTTGTGGCTGCTGGCCTCTTCCTGGGGTCTGCTAAAGCCATTACTGTCGAGTATGTCTTACTGGATACTACCGCAATAAAATTCTAATTGTAGTCAGGGGCATGCTTGCTGCACCTCGCAGAAGTACCGGCAGTCTCAGCCCCAAGGGAGTAAGTATTCACGCAGATGCTTAAAACCAACGCTAACGGGATAGGATCGTGCCTTGTTCTCAGAAACCAAGTTCAATTGGACGTCCGAGAAATCCAGCACTTCTTGGTACTTCATTGACACCGAGTCTGGCAACATCACAAAAGCACCTTTTGGAAGCGACGCCTCCGAAGTGGTATGGGTCGGCGATACGGAGGACAGCATCCTCTACCTCAACGCTACCAACGAGGAGATTCCTGGAGGAGTCACTCTGTATACTGCCGATCTCAGCGGTGACTCTTTTGAGCCAACACTGGTGGCATCATTGCATGCTCCTCTCTCCGGGCTGAAGGCTGTGAAGACCGACTCAGGAATCAACTTTGTCGGAAACTGCCTTGCCTACGAGAGCAATGGAACCGCGTACAACCCTGAGCTCGTAACTGCCCCGAAGAGTCTTGGTCAGTTGTACGACAGCAATTTCATAAGGCATTGGGATTACTACATCACTGCCGAACGCGTGGCTGTTTTCAGCGGAGTCCTCAATGGCGGAAACGGAACTTACAGCTATGGAGGCGAGCTCAAGAACTTGCTTTCTGGCATGAACTACAACGTCACACGCCCCGAGAGCCCGGTGCAGGGTTCTTCGAGCGACCCAGGCGACTATGACTTATCTCCGGATGGCAGCATGGTTGCCTTCCGCACCAAGTCTCCTGATCTTCCCAAGGCGAACTACACCGCGAGCTACATCTATGTTGTTCCGTTCGACGGATCTGAGGTCGCCGTGCCAGTCAATGGTCCTGGCACCACCGCTCCCGAGACCGCACAGGGTGCATCTGGCGCTCCTGTCTGGTCGCACGACGGCAGCAAACTGGCCTACACCCAACAGGATGGTATCGATTATGAGTCTGACAAGTACAAGCTCTACGTTGCTGAGATTGATGGCATGAACAGTGAAGTTCGCTCAGTCGCTGAAGACTGGGATTCCAGCCCCACCGGTCTACAATGGAGTCCAGATGATGTCGACCTTTGGGTTACGTCGGAGCTGTACGCTTCTGTCCGCCTCTGGCTTGTTCCCCAGGACGCGCCAGCTGACTTCACACCCGTCAACTTCACTGGCCCCGACACTGTTCTCTCCGACTTCGCCGTTCTCCCTGACGGCAGTGCTTTTGTATCCGCGGCCGCTTCCTGGACCAGCCGCATGTTCTACAAGCAATACCCTGGTCAAGACAAGCACGTTCTCTTCTCTGCCAATGAAGTCGATGCGGAGCTTGAGGGTCTCACGTCGGACTCCGTATCGAACTTTTGGGTTACCAACGATGATGGCGACGATATTCAGACTTTCGTCTTCTACCCTACCGACTTCGACCCGAGCAAGAAATACCCTCTCGCATTCATCATCCACGGCGGTCCGCAATCTACTCAAGGAGACAACTGGAGCGTGCGGTGGAACCTGAGACTTTGGGCTGATCAAGGTTTCGTTGTTACTGCCACACAATTCACTGGATCCCCGTCTTACAGCCAGGCCTTCACCGACAAGATCCAAGCAAACTGGGGTGGAACTCCCTACACCGATCTTGTCAAGGTTTTCGAGCACCTGCGTGACAACGTCGACTACGTCGACACTGACCGCGCCATCGCCGCCGGTGCGTCATTTGGCTGCTATATGACAAACTGGATCCAGGGCCATGACCTAGGTCGTGAGTTCAAAGCGCTTGTCTGTCACGACGGAAAGATCAACCAAGTCGGTTCCTACGCTACCGACGAACTCTGGTTCATCCAACGCGACAACAACGGTACTGTCTGGGATGACCGCGAGAACTACGAACTCTGGGACCCTCTTCCTCATTTTGTCAATGCTAGCACACCTCAGTTCATCGTCCACAACGATCTGGACTACCGTGTTGTGCAGGCTGAAGGACTGCAGACTTTCAATATTCTGCAGAGTTTGGGCGTGCCGTCGCGCTTTTTGCACTTCCCCGATGAGGGTCATTGGGTTACTAGTAGACAAAACAGTTTGCTGTGGCACAACTACATCTTCAACTGGATCAGGTACTACGTCGGGTTGGACGAAGAACTAACCATGGATGGTGTCATTACGCAGTAGATTAGCATCTAGAGCACGAATGACATTACTTGAATGCTGCGAGCGCAATTTGGAAACATGATTGTACTGCGAATAGTGAACAAATTACCATCTTGGTGCCAGGTCCATGAAGTTGAAGGGATGGTTCGGTCAAGCAGCTTTGCTAACGCCGAAACAGTTGCTGATATCTGATTGGCCTACTCCCGGTGTGGTGGTACAGAAGGACTTGAATGGCGTTGGAGAAGCGCATGCGTAGCGGAGATAACGGACGAGCTGGTTTTTGCTGTGCCTCAGCTTCTACCCGCCGGTGTCCTCTACGCACGCTAAACCGAGACCTCACCTGCCCTTACATTCAGATCTGGACCTTGCATCCATAACTCCGTAAGTTTGTGGTTTCTTATCACCGCGTCTCCGGAATCCTTTCGTACTTCATATCTTCGACGTGCAAACGTTTGTTTACCACCTTCTTAAAGAAAAGTACCATCTCATGTTGTTATTGGTGCCTGCCGCACTCACTAGCGTACATCCTTCATATTCAATTCCTCCGTAGACTTCATTCAATAACACACTTCTACTCAAACACTTCTCTCGAAACGAAATATCACTTTTCGGACGTTGCCCACATGTCTCAATTCGACATCATCGGCGAGCAGTACAAGAAACTGCCTGTTCTCATCAACAGCGCGAACGTTGGCGGAAAGACGTACATTGTGACGGGTGGTAACACCGGACTTGGGCTTGAGACAGCAAGACACCTAGTCAAAGCAAACGCAGCCCACGTCATCATTTCGAGTCGCAAGATTTCGGCAGGCGAGGCAGCGAAGGCAGACATCGAGCACACGACTGGGCGTAAGGATGTGATTAAGGTCTGGCAGCTTGACCTTATGTCGTTCGCGTCCGTGAAAGCATTTGCAGCCAAAGCCTCAGAACTAGAGCGAATCGATGCTCTTATCGAGAACGCCGGAGTTATGACGGACAAGTTTGTCCTCGCCGAAAGCCACGAGAGTTGTATGACAGTCAACGTTATCAGCCCGTTCTTGTTGGCCGCGCTATTGATGCCGAAATTACAGGAGACGGCACAAACGTTCAACACCACGCCGCGCATCGTCATGGTTGGTAGTGCACTGGCGTTCCAAGCAAATAAAGAGCTAGAGAAGGGTGGACCAGAGAACATTCTAGCGAACCTGAACGATGCTAAAGTCGCGGACCGGTGAGCTATTACCTCTTCCATCTGCTCCTCCGATGAAACAACTTCACAAAACCAAAGTTTGTATGGAATGACGGCTAACGCGTCTATAAAGCTATCCTTTGACGAAACTCGTGCAGCTATACGCCACCCGTCAATGGGCCTCTCTGTATCCTGTCGAGAAATCCAACGTGATCATGAACATGACTGCGCCTGGCGTATGTTCGACTGGTCTTGCCCACGATACAAGCGCCGCCACTCGTGCTTTGATCGGTACGATTCGGTTCTTTTTTGCGCGGACAGCCGAGGAAGGCAGCCGTACAACGGTTCATGGTGTCGTCGCTGGTAACGACTCCCACGGCCAATTTCTCTCCGGCTGCAAGATCAAAGAGTAAGCTACGTGTGTTGAGCTATATCTTGAACTCTACTGATAGAAGCGATAGTTGGTGGGTCCCCACCTGGGCCAAGAACGAACAAGGATTGCACACACAAAAGCAATTGTGGAAAGAGCTTACTGAGATCCTGGAGGCGACATCCCCTGGCGTGATTTCAAGCATCAAATCCGTTGGCACCTAGACAGTGCGTCCAAGTATAGTGGATCCGAGAGAGATTGAATAGTCGGTGGTCTCATAATAAGGTCTATCGTTGAGATAGGATTGGAGTAAGCTTACGATTCCGTTCGTTCCACTAGTAATTGATTGAAAATCAAATAATTGTTCGACCTTTGTAGGATTATAAATGCCGTGGTACGTCGCGATGTCAGTGGCACCAAAGAGCAAACTTAACCGTGTGCGTGTATCCGCATGCAGCTGGGGACCAAACATTGTTGGGAGGAAAGGATCGAGCAGCATATGTTTACAAGACGACCCTGAAACCGTTACAGCTCGTGGGTTCTTGCTATCAGAGAGATGAGTGACTAAGGTGATGTAAAGGGGTCATAGTTGAAGTTGAACGCCGTCAGGGAAGAGGTGGGAGGCGGTGCCCGAGGGATATGCCTTCGTATCCAACAGAATTGACAGAGGCGGGGAATAGTCAGCGTATTGGTGTTCGGTGGCTTGCTTCTAGGCGCATGTGTCGGGTGGCGCCGACTAGTGGTGTTGTTGAATAATGTGGAGGTTGTAGGGTGGCGATGGTGTCGTGAAAGTACGCGCAGGCATGCGGAGTCGCGGTGATATAGGATCGTGGTTGCGATTGTCATCGAGAGGAGACGCAAGGTGAGGATGGAATGGTGTGGAGAGAAGGTAACAGTTTAGTTCATAGTCACAATCCTGATCGAGATGCTGCGATGATTACAAAGTGAAATCTGAAGTAATTCTGGGCGAAATCAAGACGCCATGCTTCGACGCGGGCGCGTCAGGGCGTGTCTCGCATTTGAGTTCTGATGTTCCTCGCACGAGCCTGATCGCCTTGACCCGCATGGAGAGCCCCGCTTTCCAGACTCAGCTGCGTCCACGCCTGCAGAGTTTCGTACCTTCACTTTACTCGGCTCATCTTAATCACTCTAACTATCATTTAGTAGTTCTGTGTTGCTTAGGTAACGCGCAGCTGGGAGCGATTGCCGCTTGTAGTGTGCATTCCTTTGGGCAGCACATATCGATCTTTAGCCTCGTTTACTGCTCCTCAGCACCTCCCAACACCTTTCGTGCAAAATTGCGACGTTTTCGACACACTGATGAAGTTGTCAGAGAGCTGACGCTCTAACATCGGCTTTCGCAAACATGCGACATATCGTCGTACGCTAAGTCAACTTCCGAGGGCATGATGGCGACTTCACTGCCGTCAAGCGACCCTACTGCTTTCCAGCATGAGCCCTTGGATCATACACAACCATCGATCAGGCTCATTCGAATCAACAGTGGCCTTTCTGCAGAAGGCCATATTCGGTGTGAAATATCGCATACGACTACCAATGCCAGATACACTTGTTTATCCTATCGATGGGGCGATACGTCTACCTCCACATTGAAAGTCATTATGCTAAATGGAAAACCATTCATCGTACGTCAGAATCTGCACGACTTTCTACATGCGGTCTCCACAGAGCATCATATGTCGCACTTCACAAAGGAAAATTATTGGATCGATGCCTTGTGTATAAACCAATCCGACAATTCAGAGAGAAATCACCAGGTTGCTCAAATGGGCAAAATCTACGCCAACGCATGGCGCGTCCACATATGGCTCGGGAAGACGTCGGACGCTGGTCAGATAGCCGAAGTATTTGCAAAAGAATTCGCTCCCACCTACTACAATCCCGGCGCAGTTATTGATCTGCGGAAAAAGACCGAGCTTGTAACGAGATATGTTTTGCATAATGACTATTGGAACCGGGCTTGGGTCATACAAGAGATCATCCTAGCAAACAGCGTCATCATATCACTGGACGCCACAACACTTCCGCTGCGACATTTCTGCGAAAGAATGCATCAGATCCCTGTCTACATCTGGCAGACACCATTCGAACAGTTCGATACGCTTGGAAGTCATGATGGGCACGCAGTGCTGCGCGGCAAGAGTCTCCTCTTATTGTTGCACTGGTTCCGTGACAAACAATGTTCGATACCCCATGATCGCGTTTTCGCTCTACTAGGAATCTGTCATGAATCAGATAAGCTAGAAGTTGACTACGAGATGCGCTTGTCAGATCTGGCATTTCATGTTCTCAGACATCCAGACGAGCTGTGCATTTGCGTAGCAGCTTTGGTCGCAAGAAGTCTTGCACCCGCTCCCCATCAGAATGGTGCCAAACCGCAAACTACCACCCGGCGGTTGATGTTGTCATTCGCTGGAGATCATATTGAGAAAACTCCCTATGAAACGATGATTGATCTGAGTCTCCATTCCCATAGTACATCCGTACCGGACTGGATACTGAATGAAGCGATGGATTGTTTAGGTCTTTGTTCCGATACTGTATCCCTATCGTCCCGGAGACAATATGAATGCTTCCGAAAACTAGTAGAGGAGTTTGGAAAACTGTTCTGGCGAAGTTTACTTGGATCCTACATACGAAAGCGTCAAATGGGCCGAGTTCCGCTCGCTCATGCAGTGCGCGAGGTCCTGATGTCAGAGCCGAGTGGGCTACGTTGGAAGAGTGACCCTAGCAACAAGTCATACCATTGGTATGTAGACAGTGATGGATGGAGCGTTGGTATTTGTGACAAGGATCCCCAATTCTGTCGTGTGCGCATTGCCTTCGATCGGTTGCGAGATATATTTCCTGCAAACAATGTATGTATCTTTCCAAAAAGGAGCTTCCTGAATCTTGAGAAAGCTGGAAACCCCAGCAAGTTTCCCAAGCCACTCTCGGAGCCAGTACCTTCTAATCCCCCAGTCATGGAGGATATCGAACGTTTCGATAAAAGCAGCCTGTTTAAGATGGAATGGGAGAACTTCATCGACGAAGTCTGATCGCCTACGATAGAGATGGAGATCGATGTATATTATCAAGTAGAAAGCTATGTATAGAATGAAATGGCCTCCATAAGAAGGGTTTTATAGTACTGTGCATTTTGAGAGCTGTGCAGCTCAAAGTTTTGCCTTCTCCACCCTCGAAGCTGGATGCCTCTCGTCAATCCTCGGCAACTTATCGCTCCAAGTCCGCCCATTTCGCATGAAAACCCTCCTCCAATCCGTCGGATTTAACGGCGCCTGATCCCACCTCCTCCCTCTCTCCCTCTTCGCGTTGACCTTCGCCCTCTTCCCTTCCGCAATTCCACTAGCGGCCGCAACCTTCCTCCCCCTCTCCGCACCAAAGTTACTGGGAATTGCTTGACTAAACTCCTTTGCACTGACCTCCAATAGCGCTTCCGTATCGGCTTTAATACGGTCTGCAAGTAAGCAAAGAGACGATTCGGCGCAGTGCGAAGCAGCGCGGCGTTGCCAGTATTCGAGAAACCGGTAGCCGTGGCCGAGCATGCCGCACATGGCGCCTGCTGAATGCAGAAAATGGCCGTTGCCGAAGGAGTCGCCTGCTACGATGCCGTTTGTGGCGACGCGTGCGTCAGTACCAATGCGCTCGACGAGGCTGAAAGGTTTGGGGCCATATACCATGGCTACACGGCGGAGTTCGTCGGGTGAGATTTCGAGGACTAGAGAAGCTTGCGAGATGTAGTAGTCGTACAGCAAGAATTGATATGCTGCAAAGTACTCTGCGGAATCTTTACTAGTATCGGCGCTGACGAGGCCGCGTTCGACTGGACACAAAGATATGTGTTCAGGAACCTCGACAATGGTCCAAGCTACTCGCGGATCGCCTTCGTGGCCAACCGTGATCTGTCGTACCCAAGACTCGTTGCCATGTTGGTCGAACTCTGAAGCGATGCGGCGGCGTAATCGTCCGTCCACAAGAATGTTGAACTGTCCAGCAACGAAATCTGCCTGGGCTACTTTGGCGCCTTGACCGTCGCCGTGGTCAACGTGAACGTCATGTTGTTGGAAGCCTAGTTGCTCCGCTTCACGGCAGTTGATACCTGTTGCAATGCTAAAAAGCTCTGGTACACCAAGGTCGATGAAGTCACTTCCAGGTGTGCGGATACGTTGAAGGTCATTATGATATTGGACTTCAGTGACCTCTTCGATTCGGATCTGGACTCTGCCGCAAGGAAGGTGGACTAGACCGCTTCCATCCTGTACCACACGGTGTTTGGTAAAAAGACGACATCTGGGCGTCTTGCCGGCGTTAAGATCAATCTTCTCCAGTGCCTCGAGGTAGCGACGAAGAAGAAGTTGGATCGAGAACGCTGCGGCCTGAAAGGTTGAAGGGCCATCGAGGACCTCTCGCAAATCTGTCCTGATCTCGGTCGGACATGGATGTTCCGGAATATTTGGCGGAGGTACAGTGGTAACTGTGCGATGAGGTTTGCCATCTTTCCAACGGTCGTCGATGTATTCGATGTTGTGAATCTCACCAACCATGTGTAATTCCTTCTCGTATCCCTCAATGATGGCTCCTGGTATGATATCTCGAGACTTCGTCATTGGATGGTAGAAGAGATCTGCCAAGCTTAGTAGCGATCCATCTAGTCTTTTCGGTAGGTTGTCCAATCCGTATCGATCCAACATCATCTTGTCGATAAGCCCCAGCTGATGATACATGTCTTGACGGATGTTCCAGTGCACTCCCAGAAATGGATCACCGCGGAGGTCGACACCAACGGCGCGGCGGCCCATAGCTATTGTCCAGAGCATTGCCAGCATGTTTGTGCCTCCAAGGCCGATTGCGACGAAGTCGGCATCTTTGACTCCTGAAAGTGTGGTAGAGCGACTGCCGCCTGGAATCTTGACGTTCTGCGTCCGCTCTTGGGCCAGATACCTGGTCGTTGAGTAGATGTTGCTGTTGCTGGAAGTCATGAGGGCTACTATGTAACTTCGAATGGAGTCGAGGAACGGATTCAAGACGGGCACGGCGCTTCTTCAAAGAATGCGAAAGGCGACATACCCGCCGGCCCATCGGTTGCGGAACGGGGCGTTTAGATTGCAGAGGTGACTTACCGTTATCGTACGTCTACCCCGTCAGGACCCTGGAAGGCTGCCATGCTGAGTCTAGGTTCCCCACAGTCGCTAACTCAAGACGAACTACTTTCAGTCGCATCTACCCATCGACTTGGCCGCGTGGGGCGGAAGGTCGTAACATCATGATTATTGGCGCAACGATGTTTTAATCCCGACAAGCGTGAATCCTTCTATGCGTGATGCTGCAAAGTTATGTGGCTCCTTCGGTGCGATGGGTCTTCCATGATGCCCCAGATCAAGATGGTGCTGCCATTCTATTTCGAATCTGTGTAAGAGTAACTATTGCGACACGTTGTCGATACCAGCCTTCATGGACTAAGACCAAGTATCGCACCCAAAAACGGTAGCTAGATTGCTGTACCGCTACGAACGTGCTTTCCTATTACACCCAAGCGGTCGGATTGGTAGCAGGGTGCGAAGGGTAAGCGGGGTATCATAAGGTACGTGCCATCAACAGAGGAAGCATTTCCGGGGCGGTCTTATTTCTTTCCTCGGATGCGGGCTATGTAGCGCGACATGTTCACGGCCAACCCGCTCAAGATAGGCTCGAAGCAAGTGGGTACTCTGCTCAGGACCTGCGTGCCGTCTGGAGCGAAGCTTGAACACGAACGTACATGCGCAGTAAGCGGCATGCGCGGCAATCAATGCATCGTGAATATGGCAAGCTTACGGAGGTCTAGGCCAACTGGTCGCGTCCCGTGTGGTGAGCATAAGCAGATGTTCGTAGATGCTATGATGGGAGTGGATTCAAGAACGATCGCTTTATGTGGCTGCAGCAAGGCGTAAGTGGACGAAGGAATGAGGCTCATCGGAGACAGCGAATAGTGGAAGATGTGCAAGGCTTGGCAATACACGCACGGAACGCGCCATTAGCCGGCGCTAATCTCCGACACCAAGCGCGACTCCAGACTGAAGTCAACCCTTTCGACCCAACATCTTCTTTCGCAGTTCGTCTCAAACAAGTGTTGTAATGCGTGACCGTGTACTCAGAACATCCTTCAAAACGTTTTGAACAACTGCAACTGCCATATTCGCGGCCGAGCGCGTTATGCCAATTCAGCACAATGACGCATATTTGTCCCCAGACGCGCCTGCCTATCGTCGTATAAACCGGCGATACCTCAACCATGCCACTAGGTACCATAACAGCTTGCAAGGTCGTGCATAGTTGTGATCACCGTAACCACGAACACCACCGTACTCCCATATCCGTCCTCGAATCGCCATGACCCATAGCTAGCCAGCCGCTTGCGATTCTCACAAGAACGAGGGAGCTTAGTACTCTGAAGGGGATTGGGAGAACGGATAGGAAGTGAGATGATCGGTACTTACGCCTGAATCTTCGTAAGCTGTCACGATTGACCTTAGCCTCCCGCACACACCCTTGGCGATATTCAAAAGGAACTATGGCCAAGATCAAGCTCACTTACTACCCAGTGCTATAGATTTCTAATACCTTCAATTCTCGAGGAATCGCGATCATATCTCCGAATCTGTGCAGCAGCACCACGTCCGCCGATCGACCTCAAGACTTACCTCGCCTTCGGAAACATACGACTCTATTAGCATCATTTCAACTCCTTCACAAGCCCGCCACTATCGTATCCACGTTGCGAACCGATAGACTCTTGCCGGGCACAGCTTTATCACCGAATAAACGTTCATGAGTAAGGCCATGCCTGACTCCTCGATATCACGATCGACAAGATGAAATCAATTCTCAGAACTTGTGATTCTTCCGAACACCTCATGGACCAGAACGTCTAGACACTGGATGCAGTTTTGCATCACCCGCAATGCACAGAACCACAATATACCGATATGGAGCAATGAGCATGACAGTTTCATACGCCGATTTGGCTGGGATTGCAACAGTCCGTCCCATTACTCGGGCCACGATTCGCGGATTATAACATTGTTATAAGACAAAGCTTCATCTTGTTCTACGAGCGCATGTGTACACGGCATCCATCTCCCGAAGCGACCACTAGTGTCAGGATCTGCTTTTCCTTTCCGACCGCGACAACAGGATCATCTTGCGGAACAGTCAAGAAAGGGAATTTTTGCACCAGTCTCGCCACAGTGTATCCTGCTTCTAAGAGAGCGAACTCTTGGCCTAGACATACTCTTGGCCCTCCATTGAAGGGTAGATACCCGTAACCCACATCGTGCAACAGCGTTCCATCTTCCCACCTCTCGGGGCGGAAATCGAGTGCGTCTTCTCCGTAAATGTCGGTGCGGCGATGCATAGCATATACGCAATAACCGACGGCCTCGCCCTTTCTTACCAATATTGGGGACTGACCATCCGGGCCTCCTCCAACAGGAAGCGTTGTTGTCTTGAGTGCTGCGCGAGAATTTACCGGCACCGATGGGTAGAGGCGAAGTACTTCTTTCAGAACCAGATCGAGGTATCTCATCTTCTTCAGATCCACTCGAGTTGGCTGAGACGCATCTTCTCCAAGGCCCACCACTTCATCGATCTCCTTACGTAGTCTTTCCAGAACCTGAGGATGTCGAGCCAGCAAGCGCAAAGTCCAGCTGAGGCAACATGCGGTCGTATCCCTGCCCGCCAGGAGAACGTTCAAGCACTGATCGCGGAGTTCTTTCTTGTCCCGGGTCTCCTGGATGAGCGCGTCAATGAACACGTAACTCTTCTTATCCTCGTCTTCTGTCTTCTCAGGCTCTGACTTATCCGCATTATCCAGTGCGTCCTGGATTGCGTCGTCGACGAAGCGATGCGAAGTCTTGCAAGCCCGCCAGAACTCGGGAGTATTGGCTAGCCAGTACAAGTCTCCCAAACGGCCACGATGTGATAAGTAGTCCTGGCCTAGGTTGAAAGCTGCCGCAAATTCTGATTCCTTGCCAGCGATATCGCTGCTTTGCAAAGAGCTTAGTGTCTTACCAAAGAGAAGGAATGTAGTCGTATCGAAAGTCAAACGGAAGAACAGCGGCTGCAGATCCACGACGCTGTTGGGAGAAATTTGATCCGTGAGGCTCTCCACCGATTTCTTCATCTCCTCAAAATTCTGATAGCGGTTGGACGTAAATTGAGGCCGTAGAAGTGCCCGCGAATGCCTCCACGCTGCACCATCTTGGGTAAAAATGCCACTTCCCATCAATGGAGCGAAATGCTTGGGTCGAAGCCCAAGGCTGAAGTCTACCGTAAGTGTCAGTAGATGTCGGCATGCGAGGGGGAAATGGACTACGAACCCTCAAACTGTGCAGAAAGGACCTCCTCAATGTTGCGCGGTTCTACTGTATTGATGCCACGAGCTCCAACTGTGACTCGTCAGTGCCAAAGGCTCCATCCTTCACCTAGACACCTACGCAATTGTTGCTCATGAGTAGGGCCACTGGATTCCACTACGTCCAAGAAGAACTGAAGTATAGTCTGCGCTCTTGCGTGTTGCCCAACCCTGAGAAGCAGATCCAGGCCTTCCGGCCACTTCGCTGCCCATCTCCGTGGTGCTTTGCATCCCATTTGCGCTGCATATTGGTCTTCCTCCTACCACATATCAGCGACAGTACGACGAAATGACTCGGACGCGCGTACTCTACGCTCAACCTGGCGTTTCCAGATCTTGTAGCCTACAAGGCTAAGGACGACTAGAAGTAAGGCTATACTTTTGGACGCTGTTCTGCCTCCAACATCGATGTATGATCTGTCCATGGCTGCAAATCCGTCGCCCGCTCAACGATAGCGATGTGTACAGTTGCTTTGCAACAGAGCGCGGTTGGCGTGAGAACGTCGACACGAGGCTTCTGCTATTGTAAGTCCGCCCCCAAATTGAAGGGGATAACAGTCTCAGCCCAGTTGTACCGCATTAGTTCACCTTCCCTATCAGCGCATGAGACTGATCAAATGTGGCAGATTGGGGGCCGTCACATGCGGGCGCTAAGCCTCGTAGCGCACCAATGACATGACGCTAGTCAAGCCATCGGTTGCGCCTTCGGTTACGGTTGGCTCGCAACGCGTCTTATGTCCGCTCTGCCTTGTGCAATGTCACATCCGCACCCTCTTACAGTTTGCCTGATGCCTCCCTCGACAGCTATCGGCCGAGCGCGTCGTCATCCAAGAAGATGGAGGCTCTTCTCCGCATGCATGTTTGCGACTCCAGCCGCTTTTTTGCCCTTTTGTCAGCGAAAGAGAACCCCTGTTGCAGCCGACTGAGGTCATCGAGAAAGGCTATTACGTTCTGTGTTATACGACGGCTTCTCTGTTCAGTGCGACATTCTCGATCTGCTTTCTGACAATATCGCGTTCTATTGCGTGTCTCAACTATCTCCACAGCCTTCGCACGAGCAATCCCGCCTACCCTTGTCGCATGGCGACTGGTCTTGAGATAACCTTGAATCATGGCTGATCCTGTTTCGCTGGTGGCTGCGGGTGTAGGAATTGCTGATGTTGCATTTCGACTTGTCAAGTATCTCAAAGATATCAAAGCAGCAGCTAAGACCATTGACGAGGGCATCGAAGGCTTAATCAATGAGGTCGAAGGTCTACAAAAGGTGCACGGTCACCTCGAGAAGGAGTATCTTAAGAGTGTCACCAACGTTGAGATGGGAGATGACGAAAGGAGCCTTTGGACCAGCACTGGACAGACTCTCAAAAATGGACAGAAGCTTACCGAGAAACTCGAGGCTTCGGTGAAGTCCATATACGGCGATCACAGGCTGGCGACTGGCAGGTTCGATAGCTTGGACAAGTCGCGGAGGAAGAAAAGCAAAGACAGCATGATTTCTGGACTTAGAGACCAGATCAACACATACCAGGGAGCCTTGCAAATGCTGCTCGGCTTTATTTCCATGCAAGTTGATCTGCTAATCGAGAAGCTACCACTGACTCATATGCAGGCAGTCTGCTCGTCAAAACCATGAGGATCAAAATGCTCAGTTGGAGCAGTTGGTTGCCGATCTTCAAGACCTGAAGAATCGAATGGAGCAAGCGCAGCACTCATCGCTACCTCCATACGAGACCGTAGTCAACACGACGGCGTATCGCGACTTCAACATAGAATCGGTGTCAGTTGTGAACCAGCTCGGTATTGCAATCAATAACATTGCGCACAATCCAACATCCGATGCCTCGATGACGAACGAACATTTTGATATTCCCAAGCCCGTTGATCCATTCTATACTGGTCGTGAGGACTATGCAGAACGCTTGCGAAGCTGGTTCTTACCGGCTCCTTCTCAGAAGCAACGGGGTGAAAAGATCACAAAGGCAGAGCAAAAGCGCTTCGTTGTATACGGGCTTGGAGGCGCAGGAAAGACGCAGTTCTGCTCCAAGTTTGCTCAAGATAACCGACAATAGTCAGTTGTTATATGGCACCAAGTTTATATACTGCTGCTGACAGGTTACCTCTAGCTTCTGGGGCGTCTTTTGGGTAGACGGCAGTAGCCCATCGCGGTTGAAACAGACCTTCTCCCAGAATGTATCAAAGATCGGAAAAGTGGACCTTAACGAGAACGCCGCGCTTCATTGGTTATCTAACCTCAGTTTTCCTTGGCTTCTTATCATCGACAACGCCGACGACCCCGACCTCAAGCTTGCCAACTATTTTCCACGAGGGAACCGAGGTCACGTTCTTGTCACAACCCGCGATCCTGGAAAAAAGGCTTACGGTACAGCTGGTGAAAAATATTTCGAGTTCCAAGGACTCAGTACGAGCGATGCAAGCAGTCTACTTCTGAAAGCAGCCGGCCAGTCAGAACCATGGGACACGGTCGTATCCAGCATCGCTTTATCCATTGCCAAAGCGCTTGGTTATCTTGCATTGGCTATCACGCATGCAGGTCGGGCTATCCGTGAAGAGTATTGCAGGCTTAGCGAATATCTACACTACTACGAGCGCCAATGGGAACGAACAAGGCAAAACAGACTTCCAGTGAAAGACAAAGACGCCGCTGACGAGCTGAGCGTCTTCTCGACGTTTGAACTGAATCGAGAGGCTATCGAGAAGCGAGGAACTAGAGCATCTCGGGACGCACTCCAGTTGCTTGACACATTCGCATTTCTCCACAACCAGGACATTCGATACGACCTACTGAAGCGAGCTGTCGAGAATGCCCAGGTCGAACACCAGAAGGAAGTTGAAGATAAGATCAATGAACGCCAGTCTAAGGATGCTAAGCCCACACGCGACTGGTCAACGTGGTGCAAAGAAACTGCTTTCCTGGTTCTTGCATATCTCTACCAGAACCGTAGTCCACCCGTCCTTCCACGTGTAGGTCATCCCATCATTCGTTCCTCTAAGATTTATTCTAACCCATCACAGATCATCCGAGATGGGCGACATACGAGGGATTTTGATGAAGATCGGCTGCGCATAGCTTTACGGCAGCTGATCCAGTTCTCACTTATAATCAAAAGCCAAAATGCTGACAGCTACTCTATGCACCCCCTTGTGCACAAGTGGGCCCGCGAGCGACCTGGCATGAGTGTTGCAGCGCAAGCAGTCTGGTCTGAAGCCGCAGCCATGCTACTATCACATTGTATTCTCATTCCGCCGCTTGGCAATACAGAAGAAGAGGAGGACGTTCGGAAATATATCCTGCCTCATGTCGATCATGTACGCCAATGTCAGCAATCTATAGAACAACGCATGAGAGACAAGCGCATGGCAAGAATGAATCCATTGCCAGTTTTTGAGGGTGGCTTCGATAGGGATAAGGCTATTACATATGCCAAGTTCAGCCTGGTGTACATGCAAAATGGACGGTGGGATGAGGCCAAGCGACTGCAAACTGCAGTCAAAGATTTCACGACTCAGATCCTGGGCCTGAAGCACCCTGTTACCCGTCGCGTTACCCATCTACTGGCCACGACCCTGTACAATCTCGGACAAAGTGAGGACTCGGCTAAGCTAGAAAAAGACGTTCTAGACGCATGTGCGCTATATCTGGGTACCGACCACCGAGAGACACTGGTTGCCAAATTCAATCTTGGAAAATCGGTTTTCTTACAAGGCAAATTTAGCCAGGCGAAGCTTCTTCAAGAAGAGGCGGTCGAGGGTCTGACTAGGCTGATTGGTCTCGACCAAGAAGACACCCTCGATGCGATTGACTGGCTTGGCCAGACCCTGCTCATGTTCTTCACCGAAGAGCATGTGAATCGAGCCCGTCAACTCTTTATCACAGCATCGGAAGGCATGAAGAAGGTGCACGGCGATGAACACACACGCACCCTCGAGGCGCGTGAGCACCTTTGTAGTTCTGCCACCAAGACGGGAAACAAGCAACACCTGGACGAAGCGCATGATATGATGATCAAGATTCTGGAAACTCGGAAGGAAAAACTTGGCAAGGAGCACGCATACACATTACTCGCGATGGTGAACCTCGCTCTTGTAAAATGCAAGATGGGCATGATTCATGAAGCTGAAGCACTCATCCAACATGGCCTACCTATCGCTGCACGCAATCTAGGCGAAGGTCACATAGCTTATCTCTGGGGTCGTTATCATCTTGGCCGAATTTGGGTGCTTCAAGAAAGATGGGCCGAGGCAGAGACATACCTGGTTGATGTTACTGAGCGACAGCGTTACACATTGCAAGGAAGAGGCGAGTTTCATCCTGATAGGATCGGCGGCCTGATAGAGCTAGCCACAGCCTACAACGCGCTCGGGAAAGTTGAAAGATGCGAGAGAGTGACAGAAGAAGCTTTGGCTGCGCTAGCAAAGATATCTACGACTGAGCATCCGGAGGCAAAAAAGTTGAAGGAGAACAGAGACATGTGGAGGCAACGGAGAAAAGATAGCATGGCAGTTCCACCGCGGATCGACAAACCACAAGGCATTGAGCAGCGCATCCAGATTGGACATATCCACCGGTCGTCGACATTGTAGTTATACAACTTCAGAACGATGACACACTGCAGATGTTTGAATCAACGATTACATGTCTAGATGCCTGAGTTCGAGAGGACGAAGCATCGAGGGGATTGGCAACGTTGCTGCCATTCACGATGTCTGAATGGGTGGTACCTAGCCGCCTTTACGACTTTCCAGACTCCATTTCCGCCTTCTGCCTCGCCTGTTCATGATCAAGACGCTGTTCCGAGTTGATCGACGAACAGTAAACTACTGCTTGGTGCGCATTGAAGCACATCGTGTCGTAGCCTGGATTGTCGGAAGATGTAAACGTGTTACCGGCTGCGAATCGAGAAGAGCTTTGATGCTGTATGCGCAAGTCTTGTCAGATCTTTCTTTAACAAGCGTGGTACACACCATATTCTATATCAGCATTCTCAAGGACCAGATATCCGCCTTTGCGCTGACAGGGTGGCGGCACAATGCCTCTCGAATGGTTGCTGGGTCCGAGAAGCCTATCTTACCCCAATCCGTACGTCTTTACAAGATGTTTGTCTCTTGTCTGATCGTTTTGACGGAGTCGCAGTCAGCAAGAAGAGGTTCCGGGTAGGCCCAATAGGGTAGCGGGGTCGTATCAAGAGACACGTTCTCCAACTCGGTGGCCCAGTGTTAGCCGCACGCGATGGGGAGAATTGTCTCTGAAACATCGTCAAGTACGTACAACATCCATTGCCTGTAGTAAGGCTTTCAAGACTATATCTATCGTTGTACTTATCGCATGAGCAATTTGGTGAAGCTAAAGGGCGGTCGCGCTAACGAGGTATCCGCCGACTAAAAAAAGACACATCGTACTTGAGCCGAGACCGAGACCGAGAAGCTTCGCACCAGAATTCAAGCTTGCGACTCAGTAGCCTATTGGATGCATGCGCTTCAAAGCTGCTTATTATTGTCCGTTTCGCATATCTGATTTCGAGCGCATGCAGTAATTCATTAGACATTCGTCCGTACGCCTGTATTTAATTCGAGATGGCATGCCATTGTCGAGTTCATTGCAACCTTGCTGTTCAAGTCCTATCTTTCGTATACCATCTTGAAAGTAAAGAAGATGTCTTATGATACTAAAGACAAAGTCGCCGCACTTGCAGTGGAGAAGTACGAGTAACTTTTTCATCTATTTCGCAGTCATAGTTTGTATTTGCTAACCTTATCTATTTCTAGTCCAGAATTGTCAGCTGTAAGAATCTCGTCGGGATACCAGTACGTTCCTTGACAACGAAGCAGTACAAGCAGAAACATAACATCGATGGGCTAGAGAACCTCAACAAATTTCTCTCTAAATTGCCACCTCCTGATCCCACGCTTGACCAGGGAGAAGTCGTTGATATCCCTCTCCGAGACGGCACACCCTCGCAGATTCGCATCTTTCGCCCTAAAGTCGCATCACAACAGCCTAGACCTCTAATTGTGCTGATATATGGCGGAGGGTATGTTCACTACCCTCTTTCTACTACGTCGGTTAGTCAATAACCACCACAACCAGGTTCATCCTAGGTGACAACACTCAGCTGAGCTCAGTATCTCGTGTCCTTGCAAACCTCTACTCTGCTGTAGCGGTCAATATTTCTTATCGCCTAGCACCAACCCATAAATTTCCCACAGCTGCCCGAGATGCTTACGATAGCGTTCGATGGCTCTCCCAAAATGCCAGCACGCTCGGCGCCGACCTCTCCAAAGGCTTCGTTCTACTAGGCGCTTCTGCAGGTGCCAATCTTGCAGCGGTCGTTGCTCAGAAGTGGTTTTCCAGTAAATCATCACCACCCATTACTGGCCTTTCTCTCGCTATACCATGGCTGCTGTCCGGGGAGATCGTGCCACAGGCCTACAAGCACCTCTGGTTCTCTAGGAATCAGAACGAGAACGCTATGATTCTGAACAAGGGTACGATAGATTACATGCTGGCTGCGTACGAGCCTGATGTGCATTCCGCGGACTTTTCGCCTTTTAATCACCCTGCACCTCATAGCGGTATGCCACCAGTTTACATCCAGGTGTGCGGTGCGGACCCGTTGAGGGACGACGGACTTATCTACGAACAAGTACTACGATATTTTGGAGTGAAGACGAAGCTAGATGTTTACCCCGGTGTTCCACATGGTTTTAGCGTTTTTCGGGAGATGGAGTTGGCGAAGAAGTCCTTCTCAGACCAGATCTTGGCGATTGGATGGCTTCTGGGTGTGGAGAAGACTAGGGAAGACGTGGAGCGGTTGAATTAGAGAATTCAGATGCGCCAATAGACCTAGTCAGCTACAGTTCTATCACGAAATGTAGACGCATCCTTGCCCAGCACCGTGTGGTCCATTCAAGGGCAGTAGCAGGAGATTCAAGCAGTGTCCCTTGACCTCTCATATCATCCTTTTGCAGAAAAACCTCAAAGCGCTATACACCTGCCAAGATCTTTAGATTCAGCCGTCCTCGCTGAATCTCGATTACCCATTGAAATCGAAATGGGTGTAGCTACCTTGATTAGAATGCAACTGCGCAATCTGGTATGACAATTCGGAATTAACAACACCTCTCACGTACCTGCTCGACTACCCAAGGCCCTCAAGATGATGGCAACCTCTTCGCTACATGCTCCTCCGCCATTCGGATGATCTCGCTCAATGCTACCATCACATGTCCTTCACTTTGCCCCTCAACTACTAGATCTTCTAGCACCTTGAGGTCTTGCTTGATAACCTTCCCTCCATGGTGAAACGCGTTGAAGATATGATAGTGCAACGGCAGAGCACTATCTATTGGGCCCACGATCATCTTTACTGTCGCCCAAGACCCTATCAGCCAAGACAACAGCCATCCCATCAATCCGAACCGCGACAGGGTCAGTATCTCGCGCTGTGCCTGGAGCATGAGATTCCACAGGCCCTTATTGTTTCGGAAGTGCTCAAACGGTTGGAAGCCATCTATACCCCAACTGATCAACTGTAGCGTACCCATTAGTGTACCGGACGACCCAACGAAACCTGGTACGGTCTGGATGCGGAGCTTCTCGTGCTTGCTATACACTTCGCCTAATGCTTTCGTAAGCTTTGCTTGTGAGTTGAAGACGATCAAGCCGTAATTGCCGCGATTGTACGAGTAAAGAATATCGGCTTGAGCTGCCAAGTTGGCATCCGCGGACTCGGGTAGAGGGATGCTCTTTGTCGGCTGATGTGCGAGCATACTTCCCACCAAAGTAAGCCGCTCTCTCTGTATTCCCATCGTGTTGACGTAGTGGTCTATCATGTCAAGGCCAATGGCACTGTATGCAACAAACGTCGCTGAGTGGTTGCAGATCAGTTCACCCACAGCCTTCAATGTTGACATGCCACCTTCTGAGCGCGCTGTAAATCCGTCCATTGTGTCCAAGATGCAGTAAAAGTCCTCGCCAGTAACTTCGCTTGGCGATTCAATGACCCGATAGTTGTCAAAGATTCGCAATGCATTATCTTTGTAGTCGTAGAGCTTCTTTGGCGACTGGAAGGCAGAAGTACGCCCAGGTCGTACCAGATATGTTATCTCAGCGCCGAATGAGAGATGATAACCTTGCGAAAGGCCAACAGCGCCGCAGCCAATGATTAGGATCTTAGGTATACCCATTCTGAGATTGAAAGAGTATCGCGATGTATGTGTGTGCTGGAGAACGGAGCGGGCAGTGGGTCAGGCATATGTCTCGAGCCTGTGACTGTGATCGTGGTTTGTCCGCGTCGGAAAGAGCCACTAGAAATCTGTCTCCCTGCATTTCGCACGTAGACGAAGGTGCGTAATATAAAGCCGCCTTGTGTCGATGGACAGATTCGTCCGTCTTTGTATAAACTTGGTGTTATCGGCGACGTCCAGCACGGGAAGCGGCGACTCTTACGGACAAATTCGCACTCGTTCTCGCAGTCGCATTCCCCATCGGCCTATTCCCTTTCCAGTAACGGCGCGGCTTCGAGATCGAATTTCCTGGACAGCGGCTTTCAGCACAGCGACCAATGCATAGGGAACCGTGAAATGTGGGTAATTCTCAAACCGAGCGTGGTGAGCCGTACGCTCATGATTCTGCGGACTGGGGGATACGCCCAGAAGATATGATGGGCCGCATTTTTGCGCGGATGTATCGCTGAAAGGCTGCTCAAGGTTGTGGAAACTTGTCTTGCCGGCTGTATTGACTTGTCGCGTCAGGTTGACGGAGATCGCAGATTGACGCGCTTCTTACGCGCATGACGTCATTTCATTCTCCTGACGCGAGGCGGTCCTCTCGGCTAGCAGCGATACTTCTCACAACACTACCTTAACAACAGCGACACCTTAAATGATCCGCCTCATCCACGAAGCAGACCACGAGCCATTCACGACATAATGTGCTGCGTCTGAACACTCACGAACACGTCATGACATCCACACCTGTAGTATGAATCTATGATGCCTCTGCATCTATCGTCGTAAGAAAGATGCTCCAAACGACGCGTCAAACCTCAATGAACTCGGGACATGATGGGGTCCAGGGTAGGTAACGCTTCCTAAATTAGGGCAAAGAACGATAGGAGAGGGCAGGTAACGACGCATCACTCGTACCTGCTACTGCAACAGGTGGAAACCCATCACATTGTCCGAGCAATGTCGTGACCATGTCACTATAAGCCCGCACTGCTTCTTCCTTATCCGAATTTTTTCGAGATCTACCTACCTACGCTCTGCCGCTATTCATATCATCCCTGTTGCTCACCTTGTCCAGTGAAATGCGATGCCGCCTTTGTCGAGCGATGGGTACTTTGTACGTCACCGATGGAGAGGGTTGGGCGGCACAAACCTGGCCATCATGCTGAGAAGAACAGATGGGGCCACGCGACCTAAGCCATCACTCAAAACTACCAATGATGTTGCGACTTCATGGTAGCATCACACCTAAACTCGTCATTCCAATTCTGCTTGTGGGTGGTTGGGCCACTGCAATTACCTGCATCTCAAAGCTTGTATACGACCGTAAGCCGTTTCTTTGTTCTTTCGATATGTTTTTACCTGGACTAACATTACGCAGTCGGCACCGATCAAGTTTTCATTACCGTGCTGGGCTTCGTTGTGAGTCTAGCACTCAGCGTCCGCAGTTCCACCTCTATGGACCGATACTTCCAAGGCCGACAACTTTGGGGACGTCTTCGACTCGCATCGCATATACTGGCGCGTTTGGTTTGGATACACGTGGAAGAGAGACATGGCTTCGATGCTGAACTGGGAAAGCAAGATCTGCTCGGCAAGGTCAGCTGCTTGAACCTGATCGTGGCTTTTGCTGTCGCATTGAAGCACAAATTGCGTTTCGAGCCAGGAACACACTACGAGGATCTCAAGCACTTAGTTGGCCATCTGGACACGTTCGCGCAAGGAGCAAATATGCCCGCGCCCGACCCTCCGAGCGCTCTCAGGTGGGCTTGCCAGCTCCTCGGCATACCGATGGCAACACCAAACCCACGCAGACACGTCAAGAAATCGGCCGTCCCTCTTGGAGACCTACCCCTCGAAATCCTATCTCACCTCTCCGCCTATATCAAAGTCCTATACGACACGGGTACACTGAGAGATTACAGCATTTATCAAACCCAGACCCTCGACTCACTAACAATCATGGACGAGGCATCGTGCGGCACCGAGAGAATCTTGAACACACCCCTTCCGCTAGCATACTCCATCGCTATAGCTCAAGTCACCTGGTTATACATACTGTTGCTGCCTTTTCAGTGCTTCAACAGTTTAGGCTGGATCACCATCCCCGCATGCATAGTCGCAGCGTACATCATCATGTCGCGCGCTGCACCTCTCGCCAACGACTTCATGGGCCGTAAAGAGAACATGCCATTATACCCAATTTCGTATCTGAGCACGCGAGCATGTGCAGACAAGTCGCCAGAGGAGATACACGTTGCTTTATCGCAAAGAGTCGCCCTCCACTACCCCATGGTTGAGCATGGCGAAAGTCCAGCGCCGCCTGCGCAAGGCCGTTTATGTAGCGTGGAACGTTGGACTGAGAAAGGTGCACTGGGACCGAATGATACGACTGGCAACTACAGGAGAAAGTACGGGAGTGTGTAGTTGTCTAACATCTAGGCACCAAAAACACTTACCTCTGTTTTGCTACTTACAGCTAATCTTCAAGCAATGATGCTGCTCTAACCACGGTTGCTCTCAGCCTCTCAACGGGCCCTTCTTCCATGCCTTCCCCATACCACCCAGCCCTCCAATGTTCGTCAACAGCGTCTCCAAATTCCACGCCTCCCTCTCCTCTCCAATACCCAAGAATCCCAGGTCTGCCAACAGCCTATGCGTCTTCTTACCGTACATTTCCGCCTTCCCCTTATCCCCCTTCTCCAACCATAGCATCGCCAACATGGCGTACTCATCAGTCAACATGGACCAAATCCCCTCTTCCTTGATCATCTCCACAGATTCTACTGCCAGAGAGATCGCTTCGGTGAGTTTGTACTCTTGCGCTAGTTCTATGATCTTTTCCTCGGCTTGCGCGATCACGGTGCGGCGGAGATCTGAAGCCTGTCGTTCTTGGGTAGGGAGGCTACATAGGTCGCATGTGCATTTGAAACCCCAGCGCTTTATTAAAGATTGGCGTTTCGGAGAGGGGAGGCCTAGGAGGAGGTCCAAGTTATATCAGTATGGCTAATTGGGGGAGTTTGTGGGTATCTTACAGGATACGGTGATTTCCTCGCCAGGTTCGATATCGCGGTAGGCTTTTATGGCCATTGAGACGCCAGCGCGAGAGAAGAGAACGAAGGAATTTGGGTTGCAGGCATGGTTTATTCGCTGGTACGTTCAGTCTCGTGATACTTCGTATACCTCACGTCGTGACTTACTGAAATTAGTGGATATAACGCCTTCGAGCTGACCTCAGCCACCGTACTTCCATAAGAATTTGTCTTCATGATATCTTCTTCCAATCTCCCTTCTGTGTCCTGTTCTTCATCACCTTCATTGGCGTCGCCTCTGTTTCCGGCATGCGCAGCACTCATATCTCGAATCATACCCGGCACGAGCAATTGATCCACCGCCCTCTTCAACAACTTCTTGTTCTCCTCATCGGTCAAAGCATTCTCGGCTTCTACGTCTACCACAACAGCTGCTTGGTCAATCATGAATGTCTCGTACATCTTGATCTTCCGAGTAGCTACTACGCCTTTCGCTTTCCCAGGTACGTCCACGATCTTCCATGGTTGGCCGCCAAGGTACAGACGTTCAGCGTCTTGCTGCGTTAGGAAACTATTGATTGGGTTGTCGTCGAGATATTTTGTTGCTAAATGCGCGGAAGCCGGGGAGAAGACGAGGGAAAGGCCATGTGGGCCTGTTGTGTTGGATGTGTAGACGCAGTATTCCTGATCCAATGTGGTAAGATACGAGCTGGTAATGCAGTATGGCTTGTGTGACCATGGCGCATCGTGATGGGTTCCGCCTGAACCGAGGACATGTTGTAGATCTGGTTGCAGGAGGTCATTGATATCGAATACACCTACTGTTGCACTTGCAAGGCCAACCGTGGCTAACGCTGTAACAGCTGCTGAAGCTAGGAAACGAATGTCCATTACGTCGAGTCGCCAGTATGGAGATTTCGAAGAGTGTTCAATCAACAACACCCATGCGAAAACATCACTATGAATACAATCCGATTTCTCTTGGTGTTCGCTACCCTACAGCTCCAGAAGTGGCAGCATACGTCAGGCACCTTTACCCGGAAATTTACCCCAGACATCCCTTGCGAACCCAAGAACTTGGAACTTTGCACGGTACATCACGGCAGCCCACTCGCGAATAGAAATCATAGTCGCGTCGACGTCCCTAGTAACGCGCATCTCAGAGGCTTGTCGCCTAGGAGTTTAGATGGTGCCATTGAAGAACGCCGTGCCTCTCATATCTAAATCTGACACAATGTTGGTGTCACTCGTAGAGACACATTGTATGCTCTTTATCCAACAAGATAGCAAATTACATTCTTAAGATATTCACTGCTTGTAATCAAGGTCTCCGAAGTCGCACCAGCTCTGCTCCATTTCCGTATGCGAATTCCGACCCTTGCACCCTATCACTACCTGAAACAACGCAAGCATCCAAGATAAATCCTGCGCCACGAGCAACGTCATTGCTAATAAGGTTAAACGTTAGTTCGCAGGACTGTTTAAGTTCTCAATAAGAATGCTTACCAGGAAGAGTCTTTGTTACCGTCGGTCGTCAATGCGGCCGTGTTGATCTGGCATTGCAGATAGACGTTGCGGCAGTTGGTCTTGCGGGCGACGGTGTTGATGCATGCAACAGCATCTGTGATCTGTCAAGCAGGGTGATGTCAGTGACTTTCCTCGCCCAGCATCTTGAGTGACTGATTCGTTTCACGTACAAGGCAATCTGTGTTCGCGCTCTCATAGCAGGTAGCGCGCTTCTCGTACAAGCTACGACTGAACTTGGCTATATGTAGATCGGTAAAGGTAAGCTTCCATTCAGGCACGATGTATGGATCAGAAGGTGGACATACCTGACGGTGAAGAATTGAATTGTCCACTCTTGAAGGCAACGACGACCTCCTCGGGTGTCATGTTTTCACCATCGGGATTCTCAAGGATACCATCAACCCATTCGGAAAAGGATGTAACTGCCTTGGCAGCAACAACGGCCTGGCCGAGGGCTAGGAGAGAGGCAACGTAAGGGAGGAGTTGGACCATTGTGCTGACAGGTGCTAACTATGAAGGTGTATATCTGTGGTTTTCTGTGTAGAGAGATGAAGACAGCGAGCAACCATAGCTACCTACTTATACTGTTGACTTGATCAGAGGAGTGCACGAACACAACGGCAAGCTTTTACTTAGTCCGCGCTTTAGGTCTTTTGATTGGTGGTTTACATGAGAAGCAACGAATTGTGGACTGACGGTACAAAAGTAAGGACTAAAGGCGGCATTGCTCCTCTTCTTGAGGCTTTGCAGTGGGTTTTGTGGGCGCCTTTGGTTGCCTTTGGATGCCTTTGGTTGCCTGATCGTCTCGATGAAACTACCTCGCCGAGGTGGCTGAAGTTCGGCCCGAGCCGCAAGGCGTCACCCGGCCGGGAATACTTAGATACGTTCTTTTCAACTCAGTTCTATTACCCTTAGATGGTTTGATTTCTTCTGAACGCATCTGAATACACTGTGTTATGAGTTTCAATGTTCCAAGGTGTCTGGTGTCCGACCCTCGTCCAATCTCGGCCGGAGACTGTCAGGATGCAGGTTTATTTCCACTGCGCCGAGTAGCCGAAAAGGTTAGCCTAATTAACGATAGTTGACTGTGGAGCAAAACAGTGCTCGTACATAATCAATCGATCGTGCTCGCGCGAACATCCAGTCACTCAATTTCTTGGGTAATGCCTCTCCCGCTCGCGTGCAGCGTAGGTGCGAAGTCTTACCGCAGCGACAGAACGTTGGCTGCTGACATACATCGGGGTTAATTCATTCTAGCACAACTTCAATGGCTCCTCTGAATTCGAGCCCGATTAGGTTCTGGTAGGAGATGTAGTGCTTAGTACTGACTCGTACAACGGGAAAAGTTACACAGCACAGCTTTGGCTACCTAACAACGGTGTACTGTCAGCGTACCTTTCGTCAGCTTCCAATTCGATACCCATGGGTTTTGACGGCGCTCGCCTCTAATCTTATGGAATCACATCCTTCTAGATCAACACTTACTGCATAAACGTTATCGCCTAGGTAGCGATGCCCTACCAAACTGAAGATTCGTCGTTCGAAGCGTCGCGAACTGAATTAGTGAGCTGGCAGAAGTACATCGCAAAAGTTGCTCGCTCAAACGTTCCCATGCGTATTCAAAAGGCACAGAAAGAAGGTGAGAGTTGAGAGGCTCGTCTCCGAGGACACTTCTGTAGGTATGTCTCCTGTCCCATAGAATCAAATCGAGTCTATATATCCTTTATGACCATCTATGTCTATGTGTGATGATAGAAACAGCAACAGGGCCAACATTGATCTTACTGGCAATCTTGCTGGATACATTCTGTTCGAGAAGCAGAATATAGATAGCCCGGCCGCCCATCCCCGCTTCATGCGCGATTTCGGGTTTTTCTAGTAGTAGTGTTGGATGGCGGATTAACTGGCGTCTTCGCAGATTTCCTAGGTCGTCCACGGGGCCGCTTTGGCTTCGACCCGTTCGCCGTGTTTGATTGATGACCACTGTTACGCCTCTTCTGGATCTGGATCGTGCTTGAGACTCTGGTCATCTTTCCTTTTTGCGGTCTTTTTGAATGACGACCATGAGTATTTTCTCTCATTTTGAGCTTGTTTTGCAAACGAGTGTTGACGGATTTGGCATATCTGGCTTTTGTAGATGCTTCTTTGATCTTCAACCATATCGGATCAGCTAGATATCTCAAAACGTCATCTGTCTGATATAGTGGCGGGTCGTGCTCTTCGCAATGTACGAGCCATCTTTCAAGATGTTCGATGACGAATTTGCGATGCTGATTAGCAGCGAAATCATGGATTTGATCCACGAGACAGATGAGTTCATACGCCCGACTGAAGTCCTTGACATCGCCCTCCCATATGGTTTCCGCGTGCTGTACTCTTATTAGCTCGAGGTAAAAGCAGAGTGAAGTATCCTGGATATACTACTCACACACATTTCTAAGGAATAGCATGCTATGTATACTCTCCAGGATGACCCACAAGAGGTGAAGCCAAAGAGTTGGTATTGCGTACTCTCTTCACACTGATATCTTGTGACGTCCGAAGGATCTCGAGCTAGGTCGTCAAGCATGGCCAGATAAACTTTAAAAGCATGGTAAACTTGGGCCTCAGCTTTCTCCCAAGTGGACGCGCGTTTCTTCGCTTCATATACAGCAAACGGAAATATGAGATTTGACTCGCCCCATACCCCATCAACTATCAACCCACACCCCGAGTCAAGCAACTGGCGATCGATTCGGTCATCCCACAGAGACTCGCTGGGTTGCATACTGTCGTGATTAATCTTGCAATCATCCACTTCGCATATGTAACCATGGTCGATGTCTGAGCCACTAAAGGTCCTTAGACCCATGGTCGCATCAGGTATACGTCTTTTGACAGACATTTTGTTATTCCCGTCTTTTTCGATGAATTCGTATGGTCGTTTGTCTCTGGGATAACAGTCAGATCTTTCTGCTTGGAAGATTGATGGCAGGTGAGCCAAAGAATTGGTACAACATTCGGAATGTGTCATCGTCCCTAATCAAACTGAATACGTCGCGCCATGCATCTACTTCCCAGTTGAACTCCGAAGCCTCAAGTACCTGATTTCGTACAGCTCGCGTTCGCAACGTACTTGCTCGCTCATCCAGATCTGCATGCTTCTCATCGCTCAATTGGTTTCGGTAGAGATTGACGTCGAGCTCGGGGTAGAATTTTCCTGATTCTAGTGCCGGCGATCGACCTGTTAACCAGACTGGTAGTCGGTTGATAGATATGGTTTCGAACGGTTGTGGTATCAACGGTTTGGTACGTTTACGGTGTGGTCGAGAAGTACTAAAAGGTCAGCGACCGATCTTGACTATGCTCTTGAGCAACTCACTGTTTCAATGCCATAGTTTAGAAGAGGTTGGTCTCAATATGCTATTGGTGATCACACAGCAGAAAATCAGATATTCTTATACACGTACTTACAACGTGGTGAGCATTAGGCAACCACCAACGCAAAATGCGGAGGCTTTTCAGCTGTGAAACTGCTGTGCCACAGCCAAGATCATGCAATATACCCAAAGAGGCTGGTTGCATCCTACGTTGTAGCGTAAGAAGGCGCACATAAATGCATGCATTCAGGTACGTGAATGATTGTAGCATACATTAATTTAAATGGGCAGAATTAATTCGAGATGACAGTACCATCTGTGGTAAGCATGAGGAGGATAAGTCGATAGATAGAGCGAGGCTGAGCGCGATGCATAATTGTGTTGTCTCAGATCTGATCCTTCGTAATCACTTTCGTTCGCGTCAGCCAACTACCAGGAGTTCACCCAGGCACGTTGTTCTAGGATCAAGAACTCTAGATCCTGCGCGAAACATTGCCACAGACCACTCTCTGATAAGAGCATAACAGTGTTAATTTTAGTGCATCATAGAGATAGCAAATGCATTCTGCCTAGTTGTATACATGGAGAGTGTCAACATCGCTGCTTTGGTCACTCTATCGTTGCAACAAGATCAGCTCAATTTATCTTATAGATGCGGTATTGATACTTCCCTCTTTCCACTAGTGCAAGAGGCATACTTGATACTGTACGCAAGATCTAGCTGAGTTTCGTACAAATTATGTAAAACATGGAGGCTGAAAAGCAAGCCAAATATTCCTACAGTGTGAAATACCTGATCTGCTGTAGTCCATCTGGTGATACACTTAGCGCATAACGTGAAGGACAACGAGAAGAGAGCCGCCATGGCTGTGGTGGTGGTATCCACGTCGAATGCGCGTAAGTAGTAAAAGAAGTAAACGATAGACGAGATCGCCGCACCGAAGATTACGATGAAATAGGTAAGATCCCAGATGAACCGATATGTTTCCGAATGAAGAGCCTTCCTGAAAGGCTCCAACATGCATCTAGGTACCAGGGGGGCAAAGATCGGCCGTATCACGGACATCTATGATGGTTGTAAGCAACAATACACGAGATGTAAGCTGAGAGCTGACCTACCACTCCATCGTAGAGGAATCTCATGAAAGATACAACTGTCAGCAAGTTTTTTTGAAATCTGTGTCGCTTGATCTCGGTCCGCAATCGTGCAAATGCCCTCGCTCTACCCTCGCCGTATATGAGCGGCATCTGCACCCCGAAGAAGCCCAGGAGACAATATGCTGCGTCCTCTTCGCGTTTTGTCCTCCTATGCATTGTCCAGTCTATCCTCTTCTCGACATTATAGTTGACAGCGTAGTTGTTGTCCTGTAAGACGTCGATAGGAATATGCGTTTGGCGTGCGATACCCTCTAGAAAACTCGCTCTGTCTCCCAGTTCGGTTCCATCTGCAGCGAAGAATACCAATGTTTCCGGTGCGAGAAGCTCTTGAAAGGTCCAGCCGCGCGTAAACCATCTGCTCGACAGGAAAGTGTCTACGGGGATTTCTTGCCGTATGATATCCAAGATCCGACAAGGAACGTCCGAGAGATAGACGTAGCATTTTGTTGAGCCCTTATACCACGCGTACATTGAGTTGATAGCCTCAGAGAGTTCGGCGCTGCTACCCTTGTCGATGCAGCATGTATCAACCCAGAAGAACTTCAATCCATCTCTTGCCGCCTGCGCAGCGCAGAACCGCAGCTTTTCGTATCCAAGCTTTGTCTTGCCTTTACCCTTGCCCTTGTATATATCTTTGAATGTGACTTCTTCATGATCCGCACCCCAGGTGTGAGAAAGAATCGCATATGGCGGGATGTCATCAAAATATTCGACGAGGCTGAAGTCGTTGTCGGATGTAGCCTGTAAGAGGCGCATATGAGCGCCTGTGTTGAGAGCTGTAAATGATTATGATGCAGATAGTGCGGCACGCGCACACGCCGGATTACTCTGGAAACAAATGGTACGACATTAATTATAGGAGCCACTGAATTACGTCGGTACAGCAAGGCTGCACGAGATGCGCGAGGAGATCGTCTCATGTTAGCGCTCGCTTCAGCAGTTTGTCTTCGTGTCAGCCAACCATTGTCGTGTGGGCGCTTACCATACGAGGCGACCACTCGCTGTATCAATGAAGCCTGTATGACATCGGCAGATCAACAACAATTAGACCTTAATTACATGCGGAATGAAACAGCTAAAGAAAAAAAGTGGACGCTTATGGTAATTGGAGAACTTACATCGGTATCGCTGATAGGAAAAGATTGCGATGCTTGCAACAGGCAAGGTATAGTCGAAGAATGAGACCTCGGCACACAAGATTGCATGTATGGAGTCGAAGAATGAGACCTCGGCACACAAGATTGCATGTATGGAGTCGAAGACATGAGCTAAATTTCCTTGCTTGTTGATATTATGTCGAACGAATTGACTGAGTTGTCATGAGCCAGCATCAAAGTCAGCGCCGCCGCTGCCTTCAAACTTGCGCCTTGCTGGTGTGTCATTCATCCTATACATCATCAACAACTACTACACATCTTAGAGCCTCGAGCTTATTCTGTTTCAGTCTAGTCGGTGCGAGGCAGGACGCCGAGTGATGTTAAAAGATGCGAGGGCGGGCGCTGTCCAGCGAGGCTGAAGCATTACGTGTATTGATTAGCCCCCGCTAAACGGTGTGCGTTCGCATTGAGCAGCCACAACTGTTGATCGCCAGGGTTTGTGCAGGCTTGGTCTCCAACGATAAAGACAAGAGGCTGAGCTGTGACGCAACGATTGACTTTTCCCGTCAAGTTGAAACTCACGACCTCGCGAGAGAAAAAAGAGTTATTCGCTCGTACTTGAAGACGAAAGAGTAGCACTTGTGTACACCATGTCTGCCGCTGAAATCTTAGGTGTCAATGGTGTTCGACGAGTAAAATGACATCTGTTGCACATAGAGCACCCAACTTCGCTCGACCTATATTGACGCTCTCTTTCACCTACTGACCTCATCTCCAAAACTTATCCAGGCTTCATCAGTCGATCTGAAATAGCAATAAGAGAATTACAGCAGTTGTTGCGGTGGTGCCGAACTTTAATGACTGTATAATGAAAACACCTCTCAAGAAAATCATAAGGATAAGCAGACACATCAATAAGAAAATCATAAGGATAAGCAGACACACCAATATAGAATAGGCTGTATCAATGATGGTAACTACCTTGTAAGAGGTAGAGGCTATTGTATAGAACATGATCATGAAAAGAGGTATCGCGATGGGTGAGGAGAGGGTAGCATAGACATCCTAACACATGTTAGTGATATCTTTCAGATGCTGGGGTTGATGCGCACCTGTATTATGTAGTCAGGCGTTTGGACTAGAGTCTTGTATGTTTCAATGACGGTCGCATGCCGATTATTCTGTTCGATCTCGATAAAAAGCCTTCGAAGTGCTCGCGTGCGCCCCTCGCCGTAGAGAAGTGGCATGTTGACGTCGAACAGACCCATCAAACAATATACAGCGTCTTCCTCACGTTTAGTTTGGCGTCGTTTTGCCCATGATAGTACTTGATGTGTTGTGCAATGTTTGATCGCGTCCAGACGACCTTGCAGAACAGCTTCCGGTATTCCCGTGACTTCAACTATGTCGTGTTGAAGTGAAGCTCTGTCTCCGATGTATATCTCTTCAGCAGTGAAAAATTGGACTGACTTGGGAGCAATGAGCTCCTGAAGTGTCCAACCGCGTCTGAACCACCTGCTGCTCTGAATGATCCGAGCATCAGCTTGCATAACTTTGTGGGTCACATCCGAGAGGTACACATAGCATACAGCAGCACACTGATACCAACGGTACATCGAGTTGATGGCTTCCGATAGCTCCGCACTACTGCTTTTATCAATGCAGGCTGTATCCACCCAAATATAGCGAATATGGTTTCGCACAGCTTGTCGCGCGCAGAACTGAAGCTTCGCATACCCGGGTTTTGTGGCACCCTTCTTTTCTACGATGTCGCGATAGTTGACTTCTTCGTGATCTTCGCCCCAGGTGTGAGAAAGGATAGCGTAAGGTGGTATCTCAAAGGAGAACTCAGTAAGATTGAAGGAGCCATCGGTGTCGACATGCAGTAGTCGCATAGCGCAGAGGAATGATTGTGTGGATAGTTTGAGGACATTGATGGAGAAACGCGAAAGGTAATGGGTTATGAGGTCTTAGGTGCTGTCAGCTTCAGGTAAGGTCAGCAAGGCACCAGTTGAAAGCAAGGTACGAGGCAGTGCAATAACAATTCATGCGCGTTGCTCAGACTCTGGTGGCGGTGCATTCCGATTTTAGCCTACTTCTTATTCGACTGTACCCTCAAGTCATGCAATAACGTTCCTTCCTGTGTCATGTGGGCGATATTCGTCTAGCCTGTGCATCATCAACATCTTCTCCATGCCTCAAAGCTTCGAGCTCATACCAGTATACGCAATGCACTCAATCTCGACCGGCACACCCTTGGGCAGCTGCTTGACGGCAACACAGCTGCGCGCAGGCTTGTGGGAGAAGTACTGCTCGTACATGCCGTTCATCTCGGCAAAGTTTGCCATGTCGTCGAGGAAGACGTTGACCTGTCAGCGCAATCAGTACCTTGTTTTACCCGCGTTTCAAATCCTTCAGGATCGGTATGCCTCTCAAGCCACATATCAATGGGACAAGACGTGTTTCGCTGGCGTAGACGCACCTTGACAATCCTGTCCATAGCAACACCCGCCTCGGTGAGAATACCCTTGATGTTCTCGCAGCACATCTTGGTCTTGTCCGCGATGCTGCCCTCGATCAAGTTGCCCTTGGTATCGGCGGGGATTTGACCGGAGACGAAGACATTGGGGCCTGCAACAATGGCTTGTGTCTGTGGTGTGCCCGTTAGCACTGTATATGTCGAGGTGTAGCGTCCTGGTATAGCTCATTGGAGCTTCGTAAGGAAAGAGGAGAGACGTACGTAGGGTCCAGCAGCTACATCATCTGTTAGCAGAGCTTCTTCACAACAACTAGATATTTCAGCACAACTTACGAGGACACGCGTTCGCGGTGTGAACCTTCTTAATGTCCGACATCTTTCTGGTAGCTTCAATGGAGTATACTGGACGTTGTTGCCGTAGTATAGATGTCGTAGAAGTAATGGTAGAGGGAAAAGTTCTCAAAGCTCGCAATGTAGCTGTGCGTATCAGCAGCATGGGACAGTTTATCTACGTCAGGTAAACCAAGGCTATCGTCGGCGGAGGCGCACCTAGATGAGCGCGTCCGCCCTATCGCAGTGACACGAGGCGGGACCGGCATCGGAAGCTACCCCACTTTCCTCTTTGGTGGCTGCTGTGTCAGCACGATGCAGGGATGTCCTGTGGCATGGAGGGGTAAACAGCGGAAATTTTGGGCACTGCGAGTTTTGCGACGGAGAGCGGTGCGCATTCAGGCAGGCGTGACCTCGGCGTCATGGACAAGAAGAACAGTCTAATGTAGCCTTCGTACGCATCATAGTGACCAGTTGTCAGTGGAGGGGATTTGAACGTATTCATCATAAATCTTCGCAGCGCTTTCCCATCTCAGCGCGCATACATCGTGACTATACAAACCGCCAACGCCGCCCATATGCAATTCCCCAACCACCCATCTATATCATGTTTTTTTGTTTACGGCATCGAGTCGAGATTCATCCCAATGTTACAGATCTACTGCACCATCTTCTCCTCCTGGCCCGAAAGCAATGTGTGTACAGGCGCATCGAGCTGATCGCGGCCCTTGAGGAAGTCCAGCTCGAGAATGAAAAGGTAACCCATGATAGTTCCTCCTAGCTTCTTCACCAGAGAACCAGCTGCAGCTGCGGAGCCACCTATGATCTCGTTAGCAATTGTTCCACATTGGTCGCGCCGCATACGCGTAAGAAGGAAAAGTCCTCACCAGTTGCGATAATGTCATCAACAATGAGCACCTTCTGCCCGCTCTTGATAGCATCCGCCTGCATCTGGAAGAAGTCGCTTCCATACTCCTTCTTGTACTCAGCCGTCTCACACGGACCAGGCAACTTGCCCCTCTTCCTGACGGGCACAAAACTTGCACCCAGCCTCAGCGCCAGACTAGGTCCGAACAGGAACCCACGCGCATCGAGTCCGACAACGACATCAGGCTTGGCACCCGAGGCGCCAAATTGCTGCTCGATGGACAATTCAAGACCGCGCAGCAGTCCCTCGTGCAATTGCGGGTTGGCAAAGATGGGCAGGATGTCCTCGAACAAGATGCCTGGCTCGGGGAAGTCTTTGAATTGGCGCAGCGAGGCCTTCAGCGTGCTTTTAAGACGGGTGAGTTCGGCGGCGGGGGAGGGATGGGGGGTGGACTGTCCTCCTTGGGCGGCGCCATGGTCGTTGGAGGAAAGGGTTGGATCGGGCTTTTGCGGGGGTGGGTGCGCGGCGGTTGCGTCGCCCTTGAGTGGGGGGTCGGCGGGCGTCGTCGTGTTGATGGGGTGTGTGGTGTGGGCGGGCGTGTCGTGGGGAGCGGACATGTTGGAGGGAGGGGGAGGGGGACGGCGTAAAGATATAAGACGGAGCGGACTGCAAGGTAAGATGATGGGATGGGTGACGCGATAGATAGGGCTAGGTAGGTTGCCGGGTTGGGGTAAGGCAAGGTGGTCAAGGCTGTCCTGGGTTGCGTTGGGCTGGCTATGGCTGGCTGCACTGCAATGCTGTCAGATTTCGGGGGGTGTGTGTGGTGCGTGCCTTGTTCGGGAGTTGGGTCTTGCTTGACCTGCCCGGGACGCAAAAGAAAAAAATAGTTAGGGCCGTCTGGAAAACGGTCCGTAGGCGCAACACAAGTCCCTCTAGTCCCACCTCCTCCGAAACTCTGATAGGCGAGCACAAGAGCGGCCAGGGAAATCGGGGCGCCCCGCCCTTGTTCAGCCGCGAAGCAGAGAGACACGTTCGAACATGGTTGCCTATACACCACCACGCTTCTCGATGCGGCAGCTCCATAACCCTCAACAGCACAGAGCCATCCTATCGCACTCGCTGCACCACCCTGTGTATGGCCTCATCCCTGACCCACAACTAAATCCGCGGCGCCAAACGTGTGCCAGAAAGTCCCTTATCGGAACCAAGGCATGCCGAACTGAACGTGCATTCTCACATGTCGACGTCACGGAAGGGAGCAGAATTTGTTGGGAAGCGCAGTATGACTCTTACCCAGCTGCTGTCTCTCTCTTTGCACTTTGCGACGCCATGGATCCCATGTGTTTGGTCGTCTATAGTAGTGTTGAATATCGCGTCTTCTAGCTTTGGATTCGCGATTCGCGCAATCTATTACACAAACACGACATGTCAACACCGCCATGGCCATAACTTGCTCGGCTCGCAAGCAAAAGCCAAAGCCAGCGCCGTCGTAGGCGTAGCGGCACTCTACGTGCAGTACCCCACGGATGAAGTAACCGAAAGGCAACTAAGGCGTTGTGGCAGCGGTGAGACGTTCTAGAAGGTCGAGCGGGATGCAGGGCTTGTTTGTATCACGCTGGTATACGATCATGCAATCGCGATCATCTAGCCTGTCATGATAACAAGCGAAGTCGCGACAACCAGTCCCAACGCTGCCTGAGCAGTCGTCAACGAAACAACTTATAGGGAGGGATATGTATGTGTGATGAATCTAGACTTCATCAAACGCCTGCGCAGGTTGGCAAAATATTCAGGTAAGCAGACACTTTACGCGTCCTCGCAGCGAACAAGCCATGCATCCCCACAATAAGCCGCGGCGTGCATGCATACGAACTAATAGGGTGGTGCGTAGCGCCTTGTCTTCAGCTGTCATTCCATCAACCCCCGTCAGCCAAATGCATGACGCGATCGTGAGGCTCTTCGGTTTGGACCACGGCTAATATCAGCGTTTCGTGATACAATCCCTTAGTCACAACAAAGGACCATCTGAGGCAGCAGACGCGTGTCTCTCTGAAGAACCATGATATAACAACATTCCGAGTGGATTTAATGTTGCTCTAGAAGCTTGAGAAAAGGTGGGTATATATATTGTTTGATATGCCGCTGCCGCTGCAACCGCGGAGGCTCCCGGTGATGGTCCAGACTAAAATGACCTCCGTACATGGCGTATCGTCTCTCCACTACATGTGTGCATGAACCAATAAAGCAAGACTTTTGCTCAACCCCAGACATCCATGTTGTTGACAATGCATTCCTCATCCGCATCTGTCCTCTTCTTCAGATTACCCACCACGTAGACCTTCTCGCCATACTCCTGTAGTCGGTCCATGGTCGTCCTGACGTTCTCCTGGCTGACAACAAGTACCATACCAAGACCTGTGTTGAAAGTCCTCGCAAGCTCCGAGTTCTCCAAGCGGCCCGCGCTCTTGAGCCATTTGAACACGTCCAAAAGCGGCCAGCTCTTTGCGTCGAGCTCGGCAGCCAGGGTCTTGGGCAACATGCGAGGAATGTTCTCCGTTAAGCCGCCACCCGTGATGTGGGCCATACCCTTGATGAGGCCCCGCTTGGTTGCAGCTAGTAGTGGTTTGACGTAGATCTTGGTGGGTGTCAGGAGCGCGGTCCCGAGGTTCTCACCTGAGCTCCACGGGCACGCATCTGAGTACGAGATGCCTTGTGTCTCGACGATTCTTCGGACGAGCGAGAAGCCGTTGGAGTGGACTCCACTTGAGGCCATGCCGATGAGCACATCACCCTCGGTCATGGACGCTGTGTCTGGTAGGATAGTCGCGCCTTGCTTGATGGCACCGATGGCTGCACCACCGGCGTCGTATTCGCCTGACTGGTAGATACCGGGCATCTCTGCCGTCTCTCCACCAACAAGCGCACATGCAGATTGCCGGCAGCCGTTGGCGACGCCCTCGACAAACTTGGCAGCACCTTCCACATCTAGCTTGCTGCAAGCATAGTAGTCGAGGAACATCAGAGGCTCGGCGCCCTGTACAACGAGGTCGTTGACGTTCATGGCGACAAGGTCGATACCAACAGTGTCGTGCTTGCCCATTTCGAAGGCGATCTTGACCTTGGTACCAATACCGTCAATGGCGCCCACGAGTATCGGTGCCTCAGTGTAGCCGGCTGCTTGCAGGTCGAGCAAGCCGCCAAATCCACCAATCTTGCCATCGGCTCCCGGTCGTTTTGTGCTGGCAGTCAGTGCCTTGATCTGCTTGACGAGCTGGTTGCCCGCATCGATGCTAACACCTGACGATGCGTACGTCAAGGCCTCGCCCGCTGGCTGTGAGGTGCTCGAAGGGCGTGTCACGGTGGTGCCTTCCTGGGCTGGCTCAAGGAGCTTCCAGTCACATGTTATACCCTCCTTCTTAAACTCTTGTAGCAGATGCTCTGCAATCTGGTCGAAGTTTTCGGTCGCGAGGGCGAGTATGGTGGGGCCAGCTCCTGAGAGACAAATGCCCAGAAGGCCAGGGTGTGATTGTGGGGTAACGGACTGGAGGATCTCGGTAAGACCGGGGATGAGGCCGCGACGGTAGGGTTGGTGGAGCTTGTCTTGCATGGCTGTGTAGATCATGTCGGGGTCTGGTGTGGCTTGACCGAGGGCAGTGGTCAAGACAGCCAGTCGCTGCATGTTGAAGATGGCATCTTTGCGTGAGTACGACTCTGGCAATACCGCGCGCGCCTTGGCCGTGGACACTTCGAACTGTGGTATTATGCATATGCACTTGATGGCGGGCGACCAGTCAAACTTGGTGTAGTGACCAATGTTGAGCGGAGGCTCGGGTGGGCGCAGACCCGTGTCTACACCACCGGCGGGTTGTGGCAGAACTTCACTGAGAGGGATCTCAAGGCGCTCAGTGTCTTCGGGCGATAGTTCGTTGAGGTATGTGCCGACAAATCCTCCGTACAAAGCCGCTGCGACGTTGTCTGGGTGGCGCTCTTCCATCAGGCAGTAGTCGAGCATGCGCGCTCGCGACAGCTTGAGGTTGCCGACCTCATTCGCCAGGTATACGCCTCCTACAATAGCCGCGGCTGAGGAGCCCAGTCCCCGTCCGAGTGGTATCGGGTTCTTGACGTGAACGTGTGTCTCGGAAGGGAAGTCGCGAATGCCATGGCATCGAAGCACGTATACGGCCGTTCGTGTGATGAGGTTGTCTTGCGCAACGAGAGGGACGTCTTCCGCGCCTACGCCTTCATAAGTTATCTTGCAGTTGAGTGAGTGTTCTGATTTCTCCTTCTTGGTGACTGTGACGTCTAGTTCAAGGTAGAGGTTCAGCGCCAGGCCGATGACGTCGAAGCCGGGGCCAATGTTGGCGGACGAGCAGGGTACTTTGATGTGAGTAGTCATTTTGGGCTAAAGAGCGCCTGAGGCTTGACGTGATGCCTTCTTTATGTCGACGCGCAAAAAATGTCTAGTCAGCGCATGGGTGACGAAAAAGATAGCGTGGGGCTCAAACTCCGGCTCCGGTCGCGGGGTAGCAAAACGCACCGCCACACCGAACCATGCTTCATCAGCCTCACCAGTCGGATCCGCGTCCAACAACGCGACCACTCGATCAGTACTCCCGTCCTATCTCATCTTATCTCGTCTATGTGCATGGCTCCCCACTCGCACCACGAATGCGTAATTGTGTGTTGACATTACCAAGTCGAGCTTGCCCTGTCTCCCCCCACTGCGGAGACTTTCAGACATCACCATAAGGAGGTGAGATTGGATCGTTCCTCTTATCATTGACTATGGCGAGGATGAAACGTTGCAAAGACATCTTGAATCTGGTGAAGGCAGTAGATCTCGGGTAACATCATGCAACTCGTTTCTGCGCCCTTGCGGCGATTATGCAATCCAGTAATTTAGCAACGCCACAGCTGACGCCTGTGTGACCTGACGACATTGACAGCGCACCGCGCACTCCAGTAATCACATCAAGTACGAATACATACCTAGAGGCCGCCCACAAGAGATCAAGAGCGTGATTTTCAGCCCTTGAGAGCAGAATAACCGCTACCAGATCTACAACAGGCAGACGTTCCACTCCTCTCCAGGCAACAGGCAAGGCTGACTGGCTTCTTGGCTCACGAGGTGTAGCCTTGCGAGGTACTTATTTCTCTCAAAGCCTCACTTCTCTTACCCTCTTCTTGTACGGTCAATCCTCCAGCTGGAGAATCGACGTGAATTGTTTTTTCTTCATCATCAAGACTGAGATTGTTCCTCCCAATCGCCACACCGAAGCCTCAGCCCACATCTATAGAGCTCGCCTTTCAGCTTCTCTTACTTCACACTCTCACCCAACCGGCTCTTTGTCCATTGGCATCCAAATTCAGCACTCGTGCCGGCTAAACGTCGACAAGACTCCACCACATATACCCAGGCTATCCGATTGAGCTTGTCAGAAACCGACTTGATCATGTGCGACTCACCCGCCGAAGAACAGATGAGCATACAACAACTGGAATTCCTGCGTGAGATCATGGCGAAGGAAGTGCGCGAGAGACTCAATCGCAAGCCTCGATCGCCGTCTGTTTCGTCTTCATCAGAAGAAGACGAGCCCATCACTAATGGCAAGTCAAAGGCCAAGACTAATGGCGTCAAACATGTACTCGTCAACGGTAAAAGCCGAAAGCAGGCTGAGAATGGCGTTGCTGATGGCAAGGACGCTAAAGAGAACGACAAGAAGGACGAGGAGCCCTGCGAGCCGGGAATGAAGAGCGGTCTCAAGCATCTTTACTCCGGCAAGGAAGACAAGAAAGGTCGCTTCCAGTGGCAGGAGGAAATTCCAGAAGACATTGGCGATCCCGTCGAAAACGATGAGACTGCCAAGTGGGCGCTGCTTGTGCGAAACGTCAAAGTCTATGGAGACCCCCGACGAGTCTTGTCCATCCACTCCGTCGTAGTCCAGAGCCCACTACTCAAGAAGCTACTTGCTGGTGTACTCAAGAACTACCCGGGTGTCACAGTGGGTCTCAATCGTCTCGAGTTCCAGGGCAAGTTCGAGCCACTCATCCATCGATGGGCTGAGCTGCAGGACGCTATCGCAAAGCTTGGCGATGACACGGAAGATAAGCGTACAACCAAAGCACACGCTGAGTTGCTCCAAGAAATCCTTACTAAAGAGTTCAAAACCATGATCGACACTTCTCAGGATATGAAGAGCAAGAAGGTCATGACTTACGAGCACTTGTGGACTTTATTCCAGCCAGGTGCGACAGTCTTTGCTCGGCAGGACGGACAAGAAACCGCCATGACACTTGTCGAGACGAAGTATGGAGTAGACTGTAATGGCGTGCCATGTTTCTGGCTGACATGCAAATACGTCGATTGGGATGGAGCCAAGTTCGGTTCCAACAAGATCAATCTCTCCATTTCCGTCTATACCGGTACACGCGCCATCACATCTTTGCGTGTTTACCCCATCGAGTTCCATCCAGAGGGTGAAGCCATCCGCGCTCGGCTCATCGAACGTGGTGCTAAGGCTGAAACCCTCGCTGGTCCAAACTATCGGGCATACCAGGGTGTCGCGTGGAGGCAGGGTCAATTCGGAAACAAGGACAAGTACAATGTCAAAGGTCGTATTGTCATCGACACATACGGCTGGAACCGCTTCAATCCCGCCCAAGCGATCTACGTCACGCCACTAAACCAGAAGGATCCCACCCCGCCACCACCTCCAGGCCAGTACGATGAGGGCGAAGAGGAAGAGTGCCAGGAGTTTGAAGACGAAGATGATAGCGGTATGCCAATCGATGGCGCGTTTGCGGATGAAGACGACGCAGCCAAACATCCGCCATTGACTACCGAGCAAAAGCTCATCTGCTCACCTCTGCTCCGTGGTTACAGCTTGAAGAACAAGCTCTGGCTAAACTTCTTCGTCAACTGCGTCAAGGACATCGAGTGGCAAACTGACGCTTTCGACCGCCTAGTGCTCCCCAAGAACCAGAAAGAGCTGATCCTAGGCTTCACAGAATCCCAACGCAAATTCCGTGACACCTTTGACGACGTAATCGAAGGAAAAGGGAAAGGCATGATTATCTTGCTCTGCGGTCCCCCAGGCGTCGGCAAGACCCTCACCTCTGAGTCCGTAGCCGAAGAAATGAAGGTTCCCCTCTACATGATGAGCGCCGGCGACCTCGGTTTCGACCCCCGCAAAGTGGAGGGCAAGCTCCAAGACATTCTCGAAATGTGCAGCCGCTGGAATGCCGTTCTCCTTCTCGACGAAGCCGACGTCTTCCTCGAGCAACGTTCTTTGCACGAACTCGAGCGCAACAAACTCGTTTCCATCTTCCTGCGCGTACTGGAATACTACGAAGGTACCATGTTTCTCACAACCAACCGTGTTCAAACTTTCGATCCAGCATTCCAATCCCGCATCCACATCTCGCTCGACTACCCCGGTCTCACCATCGACTCGCGCAAGACGGTATGGAAGAACTTTTTGGATTCGAGTTCGCAGGAACATACTATTGATAAGGCGCAGCTTGTGGAGTTGGCGAGGATGGACTTGAATGGACGCCAGATTAAGAATATTCTCAAGATTGCTAGGTTGTTGGCGAGTAGGAAGGAGGAGAAGTTGAGCCGGGAGCACATCACGGTCACAATGGATGTTACGCAGCACTTGCATAACGAGACGCAGGCTAGTGAGCGGACGAAGGGGACCTTGTATGGTTAAACTGGCTACAGGCTTAGAGACTAGGCTATCATTTCGGAATCATCCATGGAGTTCATGGGAGGGTTATGGTAACCTTTTTGGATGCGGTTTGATAGTTTTCCAGAGGCTGTTTAATCATTGGCGTTGAGAGACATGGCGTTTCATATACGTAGGAGATGAGATTACTCATAGAAGCACTTGAATGAGTATTGGTACTCTAATCTACCATTCCTGTAATGTCCCCTCTGCCTCGAAGGCAAGATCGATACTACGAACTAGTCTTCCAACGGTCACCAACCCAATCATAGGCATTTCTCAAGAATTTCTCCTCCGTCTCGTTGAGCCAGTAATCAAACCCGTGCCCAACGTTATCGGAACTATACTCATTATTGATGGAGCCATCCGGATTTCCGCTCTTTCTCACCGCCAGCCTCTTCACGATATCGAATCGCAGATTCTTATCGTTGTTGTATCGTTCCGGGTACTTCGTTTCCAATACTCTCACAAACTCTTGAGTATTATCGATAGGACAGTTTGGGTCATTCCATCCATGAAAGATGTATATGGGCGGGAGAAGTTGATGCAAGACACTAGCTTGAGTATTGTTCGCCCGCTCAATACCGTCCATATAGTCTAGTTCGTCTCTCTTAGCTTTGGGGAGAGAATGTTGGCGTTGGAAATACCATTGCCATCTCTCTGTAACGGAGAGAATGAAGGCGAAAGCCATGCCCACAGAAGGCCAGCGCGACGAGCAAGTTGGCACGAGACTGTGACTTTCTAGCCACTTGGTCAAGTCTGTAATGTTGGCTTCGCGCTGCATAACGTCCTTCTTCGTGAAGCAAACTCCCATGTAATTCACCTTGCCATCCTTGTCGGCGATCTTGTCCCACCTACGCTTGTAATGCGCGATCATCGGGTATCGAAGTAGCGCCACGTCGATGGGCAGGTTCGGCCCATCCTCTGCAGCGTTCAGCCACAATGCGGTGACGGCCGCTTGACCACCAGCGCTCTCGCCCTCGACATACACGTGGTCCTTGTCGATGGTAAAGTTCTGCACAGGTATCTGCTTATAAAGCCATTCTGTCCACTTTGTGAAGCCAGACTCGAAGCAGCCATCCTCCTTGTACTAGACAAGGAAGTCCCTCAGACAGTCCACGATGTCTTTGTAGTTGCCTTCAGGGCCTAGGGGGTATTCCGGCGCGATAATGATAGCTTTCTTGGCTTTGGCCCTACTGACAGCCGTTTGAGAATACCAAGCGGGGAAGTCGCCAGCTCCTGTACACTTTCACTTTATCAGCAGATGTCTGCATGTGCTTTGTTCATAGCGATACGTACATAGCCACCACCATGGAAGAACCACATAACCGGAGCTTTATGTCCGACTGGCAAATCGTTGGGGACAAGAATTTTTACCGGCATCATTTCCTTATCCCAACTATCGGAGAAGGTGTAATGAGTCTGGTATTCGTAGAAGCCCATTTTCTTAAACCAATTTTCCTCACGGTCGAATGTAGCAAAGATTCCCTTGCCAGGTGTAAAGAAATGGTCATCAGTCATCTCTAGGTTTGGCCAAGTATAGAGCTTCGTCAACTCTTTCTGAACTAACCCCTTATATCGGGTAGCGTCTTCCTGTGCATATTCTATGAGTTTTGCAGCTTTCGGGAACTCGTTGCGCCAGTACCACTTGTGAGGTCTTGTGTCAGTCCCGAATATTTTCGTAAGTTCCTTCTCACGATGTTCGTTACGCTTCTGAAGGTCTTTAAGCTCTTTCTTCTCTTCCGAGGTCCATGACGGCGTCCAAGACATAGTATATGTGGAATAAGCTGTCGTTGGAGATCTGATTCGATAGTTTCCCACCGAAATAGGAGGTTATGTAGCGTTGAATAGTTCTCAGTACGTTCACAGTGTTGTGTTAGATAGTGAGCTTAGGGCAAACGCAAGTTCTACTTTTATACTCCCAATTGACTCACTTATCCCGCCAGTCACTTCCAGGATTTGCTTTCAACGTGAGGTGTCAACAGTCATGTTTCACTTCAGCCTCGAGATGCGAGGTCATAGTGATATGCCGTGTCCGCAGGCTGCCTATCTGTGGCTGGTACTATGTGACTCCGCACAACTGGAAACCGTGTACCATGACTCTATCCCCTTGGGTACCGTCATCATGGTTTCTCGTGTGTTATATCGTATACGATGTGTCGTGTTTGCCATGTCACTTCCCGTGCTTCCCGACATCTTGGTATGTGCTCGCGGCATGCGATGATGCGGTGGTCGCAATTGAAAATCCTCCGATATCGCTCCCAAGGCTTTGTTTCTTTGTTGGTCGTTACGAGTAACAAAGCGTTGTCATCTAAATTTCCGAACAGGGCTCGAGCTTGGGCCAGTGTCTCTGGGTTGAGTTGATGCGGCCTCCTGGGGTGATGACAGATGCAGCGTGGCAGAATCTCTTCTGAGAAATTCGCAATAGAGAAGCCACCCATGTTCTGGCCTGTCAACGCTCACCGCTCGACTGCTCTGCATCTCTCATCTGAAGATCATCTTCCCTTCTCTTGGGTACCTGTCATACCTGAGGTGCTATGCATCGCATACTGTTGACGTGCAGAAGATACGTAGTACATGTATCCAGTCAGCTGTCGGGTTGGGAGAGTGTAGTGGTTGTGGTAAGACGTGGCTTGAGGTGAGAAGACCTGAGGCCGTTCTTTCCGCACTAGCCGCTGTGAGACGGGTGGACGTGGCCAATGCTGTAGCTATCCACATGTGGAGACCCCGCATTCCTTTGAAACAAGCGGGAAACGCCCATACTTGGCGCTTAGAAATGCTTCGAAGCGAGAGAAAAGCTACGTCACTAGATGATGAGCATCGGTGGATGATACATCTTACTTCATCCTACCCACGGATAAACGGAACCCAAATCCGGAGGTATCACTGTTAGATGGATGTGTTATTTGGGGTTTCAGTACATAGTGCTGTAGCATTAGTGAATTGAAGCTAGCAGACATCAAAGCATTCAAGATAAGCAGGTAACTCGAAATGGGGTATTCATTAATCACTCAACGAGCGTCGTGCACTATTTGCACTCGATAAACCCACTACTTAGTTCTAGGTTCCGTAAATAGGAATCATCACTCTCTCTCCTGGTATCATAATCCGCTTAAACAGTAGGAACCGCACCAGCACCGTAACCCTTTTCGATGATTGGGGGTGGCTTGGGCACGTTCCGGCGAAGCATCGTGTGGTTGACAAAGTAGGGGACCGACTCCGTAATCTCGTAATGAAGGAACGTCTTGGTCGGCACGCTGAATACCTGGTCCAGTTCTTCCAGCGTAAGCTGCTTGGTTTCGCGGACGAAACAGAAGATCATGACCCAGGCGATCAGGTTGAGACCAGCGTAGAATCCAAAAGCACCAGTCTGTGACATGACTGAAACCATGCGAGGGAACGTGAGCGATAGGACACCAGCGAAGGTGTTGTTGATGCAGACGGCCCAGGCCATTCCCTGCTCACGCTGAATGGTAGGGAAAACCTCGGCGGAATACTGGAACGCAACTGGCCCTTCTCCCAAGGAGTACGCGATAGTGAAGAGGTAAATGAATAATACAACTGGCCCAACGCGAGCAGCTTGGCTAGCAGTTTCTGGTTGAAGCAGGGTCAAACCAGCGGCCAACAGGAAGATGCACATGACGGGGAAGGTCTGTTATGTAGTTAGTACAAGAAGCGTGTTGAGAGAGGTTGGGGAGAACTTGCCCACATGCAAAGGGTCCTTCGACCCTTGGTGTCAATGAGGAACAGAGTGGGAATCGTGAAAACGACCTGGACAGCTCCGTAACCCAGCGAAGCGTACAGAGCCTGGTCAGAGGTGTAACCGGCTTGGGTAAAGATGGTCGAACTGTAGAACGAGATAATGTTGATTCCGCACATCTGCTGGGCAATCATAACAGTGGAAGCAGCGTAGTTGGCACGCCTGATTCTGGGCACACGGAAGCAGTCCCACATGCGGTCGAAGTAGCCAGCTCCACGTGCAACAGCGAGCTCGGTCTCGTAAATGACATACGAGTAGTAGTAGTCGCGAGCGGCGATGATGGGGTGGGCACGGAGTTTATCCATGGATTGAAAGCCCTTGGCGACCTTGCCATGCTTCATCAACCAACGAGGGGATTCTGGGCAAAAGAAGATGCCGACCATGAGGATGAAAGACGGAATGAAGGCTGAACCAAGCTGCAGACGCCACGAAATTCTGCCAGTGTCTTTGACGATGACATTGGCGCAGAAACCGAGGAAGATACCTGGGAATGGAGGTTAGTCGCAAGTTAACAGATTCAAGAATGGCGAAAACTTACCGATGACAACCCAAAGTTGCCAGAACATGACCAGGGCACCTCGAACACGGTGAGGAGCCATCTCAGCAGAATAAATTGGGACAGTCGCATTCTTTGCGCCAATTCCAATACCCATGATGAAGCGTGCAGCAAATAGTCCTTCCCATGACTGCGCGCACGCGGAGCCAATGGGAGTAGCAGTAAGGCAGACAGCAGTGAGGAAAATCTCTCCACGACGACCAAGGTACTTGTTGAGAGGGTCGACGATGAAGGCGCCAATGAGACCAGCAGTCAAGAAGATGATGGAGTTGATGAGACCAACAATCCATTCACTCCTGTCACCCTCAGTAAGACCGAATTCTTGAGGGAATGACAGGTTGGCTCCGTTGGATCCAGTCTGGTCCCAACCCTGTGTGGCGGCTCCAATGGCACACAGGCCAATCGAGTACCACAGCATCTTAGGACCGTGCCACTTGTGGTCGCGCTCGTAGATAAGGGCATCGCGCTCGTCTTGAGTGAGGTCGGTGAGCATCTCGAAGCGGTCAGGGTCACGCGCAATGAGAGCAGCTTTCCCGAAGAGAGCAGAGTGCTCCTCCATGCCATGTGTGACAGCCCATCGCTCAGCGGAGCTGACACATTCGGCCTTGGTCTGACGCGTCAGAGGGTTCTCAACGATGTTGTGCGCGACGGATTCGCGACGGGCGCCAGCATCAGCGATGTGCTCGGTGGCAGGCTCGTACTTTTCGTTGATCTGCTTCTCGGTGGCTGGGTCGTAAACAGCTTCCTTCTCGGCAGGGTAGGCCACTTCCTTGTCGGGAATGTGGCTCACGCCGTTGTCTTTGCCGTCCATGTTGGAGGTTGATTTGCGCAGGCTCCAAAGGTGAGTAAAACCAGTCGCGAAGAAGCGCGGAGAGCAGTGGAGGTGGAAAAGAAATGGCGGGGGAGATGAGCAGGCGATCTTATACCTGGGGGAGCTCTCAGTGAAGGGGAGGCCTAAAAGTGGAGCCTCAACGGTGCACGACAGCTGTAAGAGGCTGCAACAGGCACCCTGGATTGATCCAAATACATTTCTACTGGCACGACCGTCGCGACGGTGAAGGACCCCGGGATCCTGGTTTGTGTCCGCCAACAAGACGCAGTGTTGCGGGAGGGGTACTATGGCGCTAGGTCTATCGTTCATGAGGATCCCCACCACATCTCCCCATGGAGTAAGCCTCCACAAGATTCATGCGGCTATCTTAGCCACGCTTAAGCCCTGCTACTTGGCCTTCACCCCAAAGCTTCGCGCATGCCGACGTCTATGACCTCACCCTCCGCATTCTCGACCACGCCTGATTGCCCATCTGGCGGCTAGTTCAAGCCACCACGTTACATTGCTCGGCTGACTTCCGAGCAACCGTCATGCTCAAGTCCTTTGTCGCTATGCAGTTGGATTGCAAAGGGCGCCGTAAGCTCACCCTTACAGCGTTTCCGGTGATATCTTGCGTCGGACGCTGCACGAGGCGGAATCCTGGTCACGGTAGCGCCCCATACTCGTTGTGTACCCGTGATCAGTACAAAGCTTCACATGCTGCATGTGCTTGGTGCAATCTTGGTGTGCGGCTTGCCAGGCTGACGCTGCCCAGCTCCGATCGGCGTTAGAGTTGCCTTGCCGGTCAGCCGTCTGCAGTCCCGGCACATGCTGGCGCGACCACCGAGGCAGGGAGCAAGGCGCCATCATAATGCCGCCAAAGGTCCTTTACCGTCGTTTCAACCTCACGGATATCAGGCCATTCAGACTTTGCGCAGAATTACAACTCCAACTCATGAGGAGAGGCTTACAACATGTTTAGCATTCTTCGAATGGATCGCGAACTCGATCGCATTTCCATCCAGTCAGCGAAGGACGTCCGCGGCAAGCCTTGACGAGGCCAACGAACTCGATAGCGTACGCGCGGCGACGTCTTGGGCACCTTGACTTTACTTGTCCCAACAACCCAAGCCCTCGTCAAAGCTTGGAACGAACTTGAGCCCGGTCCAACTGTCAGAATTGTGGGCTCAAGTCTCATTCGCAGCGACCGGTTTTGGTGGAGACATCTCCAAAATTTTCTCCAGGTCAAACTCCAGGAATACAGTGGGCTGCGAGTCATGGTCAGCGGAGAGAAACAGCTCACGTGCTTGTCACGCAACATCGCAACTCGTATCGAAATCCGCTCGCGCAAACCAATAGGAGACGCAATGCGCGGCCGATAAGCATTTCGATCCTTTGCAGGCAACATATCGGTGAAAAATGATCGCGTGTGATGTGAGCGACTGTGAGCCGCGACACACGGCACGCTGCCGCATATCGAGAACTCATTTTGCAGTCCTTTGGCTAGCGCATAGCATCGCACATATTGTTGTATCGCTAGTCTGTCCAGCGCCTGCCAAACATCCGCGGACAACACAAGCGCAGTATGTGCATGGTGTCTCGAACACATGAGGCTCATTTGGAGTGGGCCCCCGGGACGATTTCAGCGCCAGCGCTAGACATCGTGCGATACCCCACAACATGGAGCCGTAGACTACGACAACCTCCGGGATACCTAGAATGGAACACTAATCACCTGCGCGATAGTAATCGCAGCCGGCAGCATTGTCGAACTTTATCCCGACCGCCTAGCTCTCCGATATACCTCTGACCTGTAGAGTCCGAGAGGACTGTTTCCGATATCTAGGTCGTTCCCGCTAGCCACCGTGTCACGCTATCGATCTCGGACATGCCGAAAACGCACCAGATACAATTTTCTTGAATTCTCGCCTGGAAGCAATATCTCCCATATGTCCAAAGACATAATTATGTATTCTGACAATGGCGGGTAATGCCAGGCAAGTCGTGTGTGTACGGCTCATAAGTCAAAACTCATTCGGCGAGCTGTACTCAACACAGTGAGATACGAACTCAGGTATGCGCTAGAGTGCCAACTGCAAAACTTCACTCTGATAGTGCGATCTTTACAAACTAGTAGATATCCAAAGCAAAGTTTCCGGACCAAACCTGCGGCAGCAATTGTTACGATGAGAACCCATCGATGCGCCTCAGGCACGCCAAACAATATCACTGTTGGGGGCATGCGCATCATGACAATGCTGGGTTGCAACATATTATCTTCGGTGGTGAATTAGAAGAGAAGAAACCAAGGTGAAGCTGTCTTTAATGTGTTGTAAAATTCGTCTCCCTTCACCTCGGCCTTGCAATGGATAGTATCTGCCAACATGATTACTGTTGGCGTCGATGATGTCTGCAGAAAGAGAAGGAGATGCTGAGGAGGTCATTATCGCAGCTATGGGAGACCGATGTATCGTAATACAGGACAGATCGATTGTGCAACGGCTCCTAAATGGGTAGATGGTGGGGCAAAAGCGCCCCAAATGACAGTGTTAACAACACTTGACAGACTTCTGAAATGGCGAGTGTAGTAAGACTAACGGTTGGTTGTTTACTGAAGACCGCTCAAGGTAGGGAAACCGTATGTTCACCAGTCGATGTCAAGGATCATGCCAGAGAAAGAGCCATCTAATGTATCCAGCAACTCCTTCCACCTATCACTAGCATGGTACCTAGATCATCGGTACCTTCCATTGATATAATTAGATGGATTGGTTGCGACTTATTGGCTCTTTCACAGAGTAAGGTATCAATAACCATAGTTCATGGCAGGCAACCATGGTTCTGAACCATGGTATTCGAGTCTTTGAAGATATCTGTTATCAGTACCTTCATAGAACATCATTCAATTCGTCACTCTGGCATTTTGACAAAGTTAACGGCATTACTATGAGAGCGAGAAAGGAGGGGTTTCATCGACAGTGAAGGGCAGTCTGAAAGTCATTTGACCTCGTGCCAGGTCGAACTTCACTCAACTCTTTCTCCACACTCTCCGCACCCAGACCGTAGCCTTAGCGTAAAGCTTGAAATATTCAAACGCCTGTACAACGCGGAAGTCGAAGGATACACACTCTACTTCATGATCAGGTTACCTACAAGCGGCCAACAGAAGGACCAGAAACCAATGGATAACGCGCTCAACAGTCAACGCGACATTTTTCGCCCTAATTCACGATCCTACACTCCGACATCGCAAGGCCGTAATGGCTTCGGTGCCAGCAATTCGTACTTCGAGGGCGGTCGAGACTCGCCATTTTCCGATGCGGTCAGCTATGGACTAGATCATCTTAAGTGTTCTGGCAACTGACTTATAGTAGTCTGCACACAACTTCAATATCAACCATAGCTCTATCAGTAACCCGAACGAGATCCGAACGTTTGTCAATTATCATTCTACCGCACCTGGTCATCCTAGTTTCTCCACAACGAGTCCGCATGCACTGGGGTCAAACGCGCCAAATGTAGGTGTTGGAGTCAGCAACTCGATATGATGCCCACTAACGAATGAACAGGAAGCCAAGTATGCATCGATGGCGTTCAAGTCGCAGCTCGATGGCTTGCCTCGCCCTTCCGCCGCTGATCAAAATGCTCAAAGGTCGTTTCAGGCCAACTACATACCGTTCTCTGAAATCTCAACTTCATCAGACTGTCAGATGTTAAGTCCCGACACGCCTGTTCCCATGGTCTCTTCCCCACATGTTCGGAATCTGGAGGACTCTAAGCAAGCTCTCTCGACTAGCCTGTCTAACCAGGCCAAAATCGCATCACCTCAGGTCCACTTTGGCCATCCACGGCAGCCTAGTCGCTTACCATCAACATTCACGCAACCATGGCCGCATGGGCCACCACCATCTCATCCGCCATACACATCATCATCGTTTGATCAACCCCACTTACCCAACGGCGCTGCCGTCACAGCTTACCTAGGCGAAGCAGTCTGGCGGCCCTCAATGGGCATGTACGGTGTACCTACCACCGAGGAAAAGAAAGGCTACTACGTTCGCAAGATTTGTCTCAGTTTAGTCAATCTCTACAACCTATGGGACGAACCCAAGGATGTCTTAACCTTCGCTGTCAAGTTCGCAGACACGGGTATATGGTCTGACGCGAAAGACATCGAGACGATAGCTCATATTGTTGTCAATAACGCTATGCGTATACACAACTTTGGCGTCACTGGTGTAGCGTTTCGTCGATCGCCGGAGTTCGAAAGCCTGAACGTGGAAGATATGGATTTCACGTTCCCACAGCGTATTCATTATCTTGCACGTCTCTTTTATCACTCGAAGGTCGCAGCCGACAATGTCATGTCAGGTAGGGATGTAGCCAAATACGTTGGTCTGCCAATCACCTCCCTTCGCCGCCTACCCTTTTTCGAAGAAGAGTGGTCGCGCATGTCACAAGTCGATCGGGCGGTACAAACAGAGATTGTACCGTATCCGGTTGGGTTGAAACATCCTTCTCCAACTGAGCGAGAGCAACTGTCAGCGCAAGTGGCTACCTTGCCATCGCTGGTAAACGACTATATGGTCACGAGCGGCCATTTGGCTACCTTTCGTCAGAAGCATCTTTCGCCGAATGAGCTGGCGTATGCAGCATTGCTATCATTCCAGCAAGAGTCTCGCAAACGCCCGATGGACCGAGACCAGGGATCTGAAGTGGAACCAGCTGCTAAACGCTTTCGTACCAGCGGATATATCCCTTTCGACAGCAACGTCCGGAATTCAGGAGATGAAGAGAATGATTGAGTGATCATCGCGGTAATTTTGGCTAGTAGACTAGGGCCATTCGGAAGATTAAAGCCAGCAAAGAATAGGCAATGCCGTGACAAGGCGACCGGCTTGCGGCTGACTAGACCCTTGTAAGTAGGTGGATGCTACTAAAGACATTAGCCTACTCCGGTCCGCTTCTCTAATGACATGTTCACTTCGTAAAAGCAAAACGTATAGGGCCGAAGCTTACTCTCTAGCATGGCACGCACATGTTAACAGCAATGATCGTCGTGATAGTCAGCCTTGGGCATTAGACATAGCTCTCCCTCTAGAATAGTCCAGAATATGTCTAGAACCCTGGTGCATGCATTACCATCACCACGTAATACCCATGAAGCTACCCCAAAGTGCGGGGTCATCGGCAGTCCCGGAACCTTAATCACCCTAGTTGTTCTCCACACTCTTAGTGGTTCGTCCCCTGCCCTCCAACTCAATCTCTGCAAGGCGTGGCAGTATCATCTTCATTACCAGAATGTTGTTCAGCTTCTTTCGCGTCTTCTCACCGAAAACCTGGAAGATGGATTTAGCGCGACTGTCGAACTCGTGGGCGCTGATTTCGTTGTAATGGAGTCGTTCCATGAGGTATACGTATTCATCCCAGTTATCCGGACCTGAGTGGTGAGGCTGTCAGCGAATATGACCGAGTGTGCTCGGACACATTGATTCAGGGCAGAGTCTACTTACCTAGTGCGATCTTCGTGCCTGCCAACTCTGTGGGTACTTGGTAGGTGTGTCGCGGACGCAGTCTTCCAGGCTTCGGTGGCGCCGGTGAAGGTAATACCTGTGGAGGCGCGAAGAACCCTATGGGAGGTTGAGCAGCAGCCTGGTTCTGATCATTGAGCTGCAGAAGTCCACGCCTAGAGACTCCACATGACGTTTCGAAAGATTGCTGTTGGCGCACCCGGGCTCGTGTTATGTGCTCCGGAGTCTCTATCGGTTCACTGACTGTCCTTTCCGGTCTTCCTTTCGGAGTCTTCCGGGCTGCGGTGGGAGAGAGCTGATCTGAAGAGCGAGCTGCAAGCGGTGCCTTCCTCGGAACGTTATTTGAGGGAATGCGACTACCTTTCCAACCCGGCGGAACCGAGCCATCAGGTGATGCGCTCGCAGTGCCAGGCTTAGTGAGAGAGTCGTGGCGCTGTTCGACCGGATTTATAGCATTGTAGCCTTGCGCTGGAGTCGAAGGCTGGCGCTGTTCGATGGGGTTCGTAGGATCGTGGCCATACGCTGGGTTGTCCGGCTGATTAAAATACTATCAAGACGTTAGCACTAACCGTACTGTAGAAGAAGACACAGAACGCGATGCATCTAGACTTTGCCTGCTATTAGACAGAAGAATTCTGATACGGAGGACTTTGTTGCTAACTTTCCCCTTTACGGTGCTAAAGCGTAGCGGGAAGGACTTACTGTAAAAGAGTTAGCCAAGGTTTTCACAGCGTTTGGTATCCCTAATAGCTGACTTACCTATCTTTTGTCCACCTTTTTTGTACGAGTGCCCATCGTGCTCCATAACGAGTGAGTGTAGATATTGATTCGGTGCTTGGTGGGTGTTCAAGTTTGAATATGGATTTGGGAATGTAAGATGTGGATAGTTTGGCCAGTGAGGTGGATCGTGGGGGAATTGAAACTGGCTGTAGGGAACCACGGTGGGTGAATAGACCTGGCCACTCGGTGGATTGGATATGAATGTGCTTGCAACCTTTGGTGAGATCATTGTTGAGGTAGGTTCGGCGAATGGGTGCGGTTGCGACGCCATTATCGCGCTTGGTAGTAGGTGCTGTTTCGGATCTTTGGTACGCTCTTGCGACATTACTGGGTGCAGGAATGTGAGAGTGGTCGAGCTCTACCAGAAAGGGCGTCAATGGTAAGAGCGATGTTGATAATGACGTATGGCAACGTTATCATTGCACTCACCGCCAGACGCCTTCCAATTTTATGCTGCTTAGATGTGCACAAGGAGAGAGAAAGGAAGGGTACGAAGAGGTAGACATGGCGATAATAGCAGTGAGTGGTGCCTGCTGTACTGGGAACCAGCACTCCACCCTGAATGAAGGCGCTTTCCTTCTTCAACTTGCTTGTTATGTCGTCAGCTTGGTAGTTCCGAAACCCTGAAGCTGTATATGTTGATGCAGATAAGGGTTGAGAGCATTCACCAGGGGTACCGCCTTTTAATGTGCTCAACATGTTCAGTTACGAGTGCTCCATGGTCGAATCAGTTAAAAAAAAAAGTCGCGATTTTCTTTGTGGTAGAGTATCTACTGGGTGCGCAAATTGAGGGCTATCTTGACAAAGGTCTGGATGTAGTCACCCAGTCCGGCTCTTCCCGGCAAGTCCCAGATCAAAGTCAAACGGCTCACCCTTCCATACTTCCTCCACGCCACCATGCATACGTTCGTGTGAGGGCACACGACTGATAGGATCATGTTGCACGACGACCTCTTTTGTGCACCAAATCTCACCCCTGCCAGAACTCGTCTCTTGGGTACTGTTCCGCCACTGCATCTCATCCTCCGAAGCCTCAGTACCCAAGTCCTTCATCTTGAAGCTCGACTCGACATCTCCCTCAATAGTAGCAAGACGACTCTGACTTTGACTGCGAACATACCGTTTGTCCAATCCGTCAGATTCGTAGGTGCGCCCATAGCCACGGGTAAGCGTATGCTGTCTGATACGTACGCTAATCACGCCGCAGTATTGAAGTGCGCGTTGAAACGGCGAGCGGAGACAGGGTACACAGATCACAATAAAACCTACGAGCTCTTCGATGACGGACCACATGCCGATGGTGATGCTTTCGTTCAGCTGGTCTCCAGTTTTGCCAAAATCCATGGCAGCGACGATCTTTAGGATGGAAGCTATGCCCGCAAAGAAACCGAGGCCCATTAGTGCGCCTACGATTACGCGTTCGCGGATGGGACGCTGAATCCGGTGGAGGAAAGATATGGGGAGGAGGGCGAGCATGAAGTCGGTGAGGATGTGTATGACGGATACTGTTATCGAGCTTATCCTGACTGATTTGCTGCTCCAGCAGTGTCCCGGTACTGTGCCAAGTAGGTCCCATGCTTTTCGAACTGGAACGCATTGAAGTAGAGTTGCCAGTGTGTTGTACACTCCGAGTGTAATTTGGAGAACAATCATACCCCAGAGAAAACGGCGAAGGGGTTTCGAGGGCGAGATGCGGAGGAGCATCAGAGCAAACGACACTTTGACGAATACCATAGACCATGCCCAGATCGGTTGTGCAATAGACGCTTTGTGGAATGCTTCTTGCGATTCGGATAGAAAAAACGTGTCCGGTCGGTGCGTGAAGGTATAAGGCATGGCTGCAAGCAAAAGACTTGTATTGATCACTATCAACACCTGTTTCAAATTTGTTAGTCTTCAATATCGTCAGTAGGGTACAGTGCAGTCGCTACTCACGTATGCCATAGCACAAGCGTAGTCGTCCAACTGCATCCGATACACAGGCCGCCATCGCGACCACATGCGTGCTCCAAAAACAACGAGAGCAATTCCATGCAGAGCTAGCGTGGCTCCAGCGAATGTTTTGCCAGTCTTCTGAGCTGCTTCTGAAGGGAACGCAGGAATCAAGTGAAGATCTGGTGGCGGTGGTGCCATGATTTCGTCACTCGCATACCGTGTTGTGAATGATGGTTTTCCGGTGTCATTTTAGCTAGACCATTAATTGAGCGAGACGGTAGAATATATCAAGCTTTGACAAGCATTCCCCATGGGGATGTGGGGCGCATGTTGGCAATAACGCTCGAGCGATGAGCTGGCCGATGCCGGTCGTAGCTTGTGGTGTTTTACAGGGCCATGTTGTTGCATGTTGGGTCCAGAGCTAGGATTCAGGAGCTCAATATGATACCTCAAACATGGATAACTCGTATGTTTGTACCAATGGTTACGTTGTATGAATCTGGCTGTAAGCGACCGGAAATGTTGCTTTACTATGCAGGCTGAACACGTTCATTCTTCCGGTGCAGGGGTGCTTCTTGGATTTGTCGATCTCATTGTAAGTTGGTTGAGATAGAGGTAGTAACTGACGTGGTGGACTGCAGCATCATGATTGATGTCTCAATTAGTAGGTCCAGCAATAGAGTCATCACCCAGAATGAAATCCTTTTCGCATGTTTCTAGCGACGCCTCGAGCCCTCCTCTTGTCGAAGCACGAATGTATCCCCATGTCGTCGCCCTTCCGGTAGATCATCTGTACTGCATTAGGCTAAAGGCGGGATGGCGGACGCCGTATAGATACTCGGGACGCTTATTACATGCATAACGCAGGCTGAATGCATTCTAAGCATCTCCGCAAAGGGCTGATAGTATTGAAATGATGAAGGTGTTGATGAGTGTTAGCAATGTTTCTGGTGTAGCCGAGTCTTGCTAGCTTGGACCCTGATGATCGATGACGGCAGACGGTGCCGAGGCGTGTTTCCCGTTCCTGTCATCGACCTACTGTTAGCAACTACACCTCATTGACTCTTAAAACGCGCCAGAACGCGTCGAAAAACGTCTCAAGCATGACTTCGCCTGTTGATTTCGATGGGAAAGCATCAATGTACTCATCTCGGTTCGCGTTTCTCCGTGATCCTGCCGGCGATTGCCTGTCAAGGCGCGCTTGGCCGTTACTGCCGTTCCAACTTCCGTCCTTATAGCAAATTACCCAGCCCTACTTCTCTTGCCAGCCACCGAGCTACGAACACTGTGCCATTTCATGATACTATATGTCACCATGGAATCTCCAATCGACCAAAAAGCTTCGCCGAACCAAGCTACAGAATGCAGCCAATCACCACACCTTCCATGGGATGTCCTCATCGAAATAGCTCACCATTGTCGTCTCGACGAGCTGCGCGTTTTGACCATGGTCAGTACGCAGATGCGCGATTTGATTGATCGCTATATCCCCACGATTGCGCCAGCGGTAGCACATGTCACGTTCAGTAAACGAGTCCTCCAGCACATGTACGATCGGTCGAACTTCTTCCACTATAAACAGCTGCGAGAGCTCGTACCGCACCAGCTGGCGGCAATCCTGGTGAACAAACATCGAATCGCATATTCAAATGGGCGCCCAGTTTATCGTATACCAGCAGAAGCACCTGGTGGCGACTATCTGCGTAAACGAGTCGCAAACGGCTGGGACATCCTACGGGAGTTGTATCTTATCTCTCAGGATGTGCGTACGTCTTATACGGAAGATGAATTGATACAGCAGGACCGGCGGTCGCCGCGATACTCGCTCGACGCCTGTAAGATGAAAGAGGATATTATCCAGCAGCGACGTCTGGACTATGTTCATGGACTATGTTCTCATCAGATACGAGATTACATCTTGCTGACGACGCTCCTTCCTTGCATTTTCAGCATGTCAAAGGCTCACGTTGGAGACGAGTACGAGCCTTGGATATTTGACAAGGGCGAAAGCTTTGATCAGTTGCGCTCGTTCCGAGATGGAACGACGTGGCTCTCGTGGTTTGTGCTAGCTGAAGGACTGCATATTTTCTGGGCTCAATGGTGGAGTTTGCCTCCAGATTTGGCACAGCATCACATCGCACGCCGCGCCGTGCACACATACAAGGTTTTGGATCCTGCACTTGTCGACCACCAGCGTTCATTGATGAAGCGACTTCATGACGGTATTCGTGATGTGGGGGGAGTCAAGTTGGCGGATTACGGCAACTTGAAACCACATCTGTATTTCCCTCACGTTTCCAAAGGACAGCGTCCGCCAAAAGACCTCCGAGCTCCGGAGACGCTCCAGCATGTACTGTTCCATGCAAATTTTCGATGTCCGGATGGA